ATCGTTATATCTCGGAAGGATTGCATCCTAGAATTATCACGGATGGTTTTGAGATCGCCAAGAACGAGGCGTTGAAAGTGGGCAACTATTGAACACGGATACTTGGACAATGGTGCTGACGGGTGAATAGTTCCTTGACGGCTTCAAGCTCGAGAAGGAGGTCGACCGCGAGTTGCTTCTTTCCGTGGCCCGCACGTCGCTTTCCACCAAGCTCAACTCCAACCTTGCGGCCAAGCTTACCCCCGATATCGTCGATGCTGTCCTCGCTATCTACCAGGCACCTGCCAAGCCGGATCTGCACATGGTCGAGATCATGAAGATGCAGCACCGGACCGCTTCCGACACCCAGTTGATTAAGGGTCTTGCCCTCGACCACGGCGCCCGCCACCCCGATATGCCCAAGCGCCTTGAGAACGCCTACATCCTGACGATGAACGTCAGCTTGGAGTACGAGAAGTCTGAGATCAACTCTGGATTCTTCTACTCTAGCGCAGAGCAGAGAGACAAGCTGGTGGAGAGCGAGCGCCGTTTCGTCGATGCTAAGCTGAAGAAGATTGTCGAGCTGAAGAAGGAGGTTTGCGGAAACGACCCCACCAAGAACTTCGTCATCATCAACCAGAAGGGTATTGACCCTCTTTCTCTCGACGTCCTGGCCAAGAACGGCATTCTCGCCCTCCGCCGTGCCAAGAGAAGAAACATGGAGAGATTGCAGCTCATCTGCGGTGGTGTTGCACAGAACAGTGTCGACGACCTGTCACCCGAGTCTCTCGGATGGGCTGGTCTTGTCTACGAGCAAACTCTGGGCGAGGAGAAGTACACCTTCATCGAGGAGGTCAAGGAGCCCAAGTCCGTCACCCTCTTGATCAAGGGACCCAACGCACACACCATCACTCAGGTTACGGACGCTGTCCGTGACGGTCTGCGCAGTGTCTACAACATGATTGTGGACAAGAGCGTCGTCCCCGGTGCTGGTGCCTTCCAGGTTGCCTGCGCAGCACACCTCAAGAGCGACGCCTTCTCCAAGACTGTGAAGGGCAAGGCCAAGTGGGGTGTCGAGGCTTTCGCCGATGCTCTGCTGATTATTCCTAAGACTCTCGCTGCCAACGCCGGTCTTGACATCCAGGATGCTCGTAAGTGCACAGTATGCTTGCCTTTTGAAGAAAATTCACTAACATGTCACAGTTGCTGCTATGCAGGATGAGCACGCGGATGGCAACATCGTGGGCTTGGACTTGGCAACGGGTGAGCCGATGGATGCAGAGCTCGAGGGTATCTTCGACTCCTTCAGAGTACTCAGAAACTGCATCGCCTCGAGTTCGAGCATTGCGTCCAACCTGCTTCTGTGCGACGAACTCTTGAAGGCGAGACAGATGGGCAGAGCGGGAGGCCCTGGTCCTGGTATGGATGGCCCTGAGGAGTAAAGAGTTTGATGGATTCCAATGTAAAAAGTGTTGGCACGGTAGACAAAAGGCGTTGATCTTAGACCTGTCAAAGCTGAGAGCCGGAATGATATCCAACCATGAAGACAATATCTGCATTCTATTCTGTGAAGTCCAGTGTATTAATCCAGAGTGTCGGGGCATTTCAGTCAGGGGCAGCTTCCATCGCTTGCTACCCCTCGCTGGAGGAGGGCAGGCGAGGAGCGATAAGATAAGCCCCGCATCGAAATATTTCGAGAGCCAAAAAATCTTGACCCCACGTACCCAGCCCAACCCGTCAATTTCGCAGCTCATACCGATTTACAAAACCATGGCAGATTACGACAGTGATTCCTCCGAGCAGGAGTTCACCGAGACCAACGTGCTTCTCGGCTATGCTAGCAAAGACGCCGACGATGACACCATTAGTCGTCTTGGCGGTCAACCAGTGAGTTCCAATTTGCCGCCGCGCATCGACAAACAGAGATGACGGCCCTTGCAGATGGACTGACACGCGGTTATTCACTCGTAGGAATGGTTGAACCACGAACAACCAGCCTCAGCAGCCCTGGCGCGCTGTAAAGTGTGCAACGAAATCATGGTACAGCTTCTCCAACTCAACGGCGAGCTCCCCGAAAAGTTCCCCGGCCACGAGCGCCGCCTGTACATCTTTGCTTGCCGCAAAGCCACCTGCCGGCGCAAGCAGGGCAGCATCCGCGCGGTGAGAGGTGTCAAGATAAACAAGGAAGCCCAAGCAGCGGCAGCGAAGAAGGCGGAAGCGAAGCCTCAGAAAAGGGTGGAGGAAAAGGAAGAGCCCAAGAAGGACGTCAGCTCGGGACTAGGAACCGCGCTCTTTGGCGGCGGTTCCGGTGCGGCGAACCCGTTCGGGGGCAACGCGAATCCTTTTAGCACGGTTGCCTCTTCAAGCAGCAGCCCCTTTGGCACCGCCGCCCCGTCAAACCCGTTTTCTAAGCCCGCCGCCGACGAGGAGCCCGCACCAAAGAAGGAAGAGGAGACCAAGGACCAGGATCCGGCCGCGTCCCTCCCCAAGACTTTTGCCGAGACCCTGAACCTCAACAACCCGCAATCGACCTCCGGACCACCTCCGCCGCCGGAGCCGTGGCCCGCGGCCAACGCTCTGCCCAAGCCGTACCCGATTTCCTACCTTGCGGACGCCGAGTTCGAGACGCTCGATCCGGAACCCATGCCCGTGCCACAGAACGCGCGGATGGAGGTCGACACCGAGGGCGGTAGCAGCTCTGGCGGAGGCGACATGAAGGACGTCTTCGAGTCGTCCATGGACGCGGCGTTTCAAAAGTTTGCGGACCGCATGGAGCAGAACCCAGAACAGTGTATCCGCTACGAGTTCAACGGCACGCCGCTGCTGTATTCCAAGGCGGACGCCGTGGGCGCGAAGCTGGGCGCTGCCGGCGGCGGTGGAATGACGCGGTGCGGAAATTGTGGTGCCAGGCGCGTGTTTGAGGTGCAGATGACGCCGCACGCCATCACCGAGCTCGAGGCGGAGGAGCTGTCGCTTGAGGGCATGGATTGGGGGACCATCATTGTCGGCGTTTGCGAGGCGGATTGTCAGCAGCGGGGTGTCGAGATTGGCGAGGCTGGGTATCTCGAGGAATGGTGTGGTGTTCAGTGGGAGGAGCTTTCGAAGCGATGAGAAGCCTTTTGTGCTACATGATGATGATAAAAACAAAGGGGGCAGGCAGCTACAAAGGTTTTGCAGCACATTAAGATATTGAGAAGAAAAAAAAGCGTTTTACACGACATTTCAAACATTGTGGCATGTCTCATATTCAGGGATATACTCTATGGCCCCCGATTCCAAAGTCAAAAGTGAACGCCGGTAATTTTTGCCGCCATGCTCTCTTCCAGCCCTAACTCCATGTACGGAGCTATTAGCAGCCAAGGATTGTGATATCAACCCTTGCGTCCCCTTCTTCTGTTCATCCTCACGCCGATGCCCAAGTCTGCGATTTCTCTTCTTGTTTTTCAAAAAAGCGTTCCTTTTACGCAGTCTCCTCCCATGATCTCCGAAGAATCCTCGAGAACATGTCGACGTTGACGTCCTCCCTGATCTCGGACTTCTTTGCCTCGTTCTCGGCGTTCTTGGGGATGGTGACGACGCCGTTGTCGCCGACGGTCCAGCCGGCAACCTCGGTGACGAACTTTGCGGCAGCGTCGCCGTCGAGGCCGAGCCACGACTCGAGCTGGGACAGGCTGACCTCGCGGAAGGCCTGGGCGACCGAGTTGGCAATGTTGCTGCGGATGAGGTCCTCAAAGCCCGAGATGTCGGCAATGAGGTCGGCGCAGAGATCGTCGCCGTCAATGGTGTCCCAGAAGCGGGCGTACTGGGAGCCCTCGAGCTGGCTGTTGAGGGTGCGCAGCTTGGTGACGGCCTCGTGGAGCTCGCCCTGGGCGATGGTGGAGGGGTTGATGAGGTGCAGGGCGAGGGTGAACTGCGGCGAGGGGAACTGGGTCATGGCCTTGACGAGGATGTTGGTGACGACCTCATCCTTGAGACGGTCGGGGTTGAGCTGGTACCTGAAAGGCGAGAAAGAAGACAAATTGGTCAGCTGTTGAGTTCCGTGATGATGCAAGCTCGTATCCAAGTTTGTCTCAATATTGATTTCCGGTATCGTTCAGTTAACACCATGTGCTGACTTCAGTTGCGACTGAGGGGTTCATGACGGAACAACCAGTGCATGTCAGGTAATAGGAAACGTTTACATGATCATCATATAACCGGCGCAAGACCAAGCAAAGGGGTCTGATGCCACCGACGTGTACAATAGACGCGTGGCGGTGGTCGGGTAGGCATATCGAGGTTGCGACTCACAGCTTCAGGAGTGTCCGGTTCGCATTGCAGTCGCAGTACTTCTGCTCGCACTGCTCCTGCAGGTAGGACTCAAGGTTGACGACGGCCTCAGGGTTGTAGCGCTCGAGACCATTGATGATGTTGACAATGTAGTCGGGCCGCTCGGGCGGATCTTCGCCATTCAACATGATTGCTGGTTTTATGTGCGGCGTGGGGGGGTGTGAGAGGGTGGTTTTCGAGGTTCGGCGGGTTAGGAGAGGTATCGTGGAGGGGAAGGAAGAAATCGGTGCCGCTGGTGGGGCTTGGGCCGCCCTGGCGAAAGATTTCCAAAAGTTCGAGTGTGTTGTTGTGTGGAAGTCGCTTGGGTCGTCAAATGAGGTTTAGCGCCGGAGGATGGGGAAAGGTGTAGCCGCTTCTTCACCTTCAGTGGAATGGGACACCTTACCTAAGGCAGATCCTGGGCACTGCTGACTAAGGTAGAGAGCTACAGGTGACTGGGAAGGTGCACGTACCCTCCTGTTTGGTTCGCAGGCAGCGGCGTCATTGACTGAGACGTTTACAGGGGTGAGCTAAGGTACCTCAGCGGACAGCTTGGTGATGAACTAACAACATTGAACGGATATAGGATCAAGGAACATTCGACCGGGCAGTTCGTGATAACAACACGAAGCTTCATTTGCATTTGTTCTCACTTAAACCAGTAATCAATTTTTTCAACTCAATAGGCTCCTGAATTGAAAACCATCACCGCCATGCCCAGCCCAAGTAAGAAGAGGAAACTGAACGATCAGTCGTCAACCGGAGTGCCTTCGAGAGGCTTGGAATACTTTTTTTCTAAGCAGAAGCAGAACGGCACGTTGTCACCAAAACCCGCGACGGAGTCTGTTCCTGAAGCTATGCCAAATGGCACGGGATCAGCCGACCAGCAGCCGGAGTTGACGGATGAGGAGCTTGCCAGAAAGCTGCAAGCGGAATGGGATGCTGAGGTGCAGAATGAAAGAGCAAAATCCACGCCGTGTCCCGAACCAGCAAAGGACCCAAGTCCACGGTTAAATGAGACCAATGAGGGGGAATCTACCGAGACAAAGTCTGAACCGAACGGGTCGTCGGCATCCTCAGTTCTCCCAATCGTCACACCGACGACGAAGACGCTCTCCCTATCCTCCGTGGCAAATGCTGAAGACACGGTCTCAGCAACCATTCCTCTGGACCAAAGTCCACTGACCTTTGATCCTTCAGCATATGTCCCTCAGTTGAAGGAATCATGGGCAGCCGAGGGAGGGCACGCTTCATACGCATTCCTCACCAGATGCTTCATCTTGGTATCTGCTACACAAAGCCGGATCAAGATCGTGGACAGTCTGGTCAATTGCATTAGAGTGCTGATCGAAGCTGATCCGGAGAGCCTACTGCCCGCAGTCTGGCTTGCAACTAACTCCATCTCGCCCCCTTTTATCTCCTTGGAGCTCGGTTTGGGAGGGTCCGCGATTTCTAAGGCGCTGAAGCAGGTGTGCGGATTAGACGGCCGCTCTTTGAAGACACTTTACGACAAGCACGGTGATGCTGGTGATGTTGCATTCGAGGCGAAAAAGAAGCAAAGCTTTACTCTGCGGAAACCCAAACCCTTGACGATCAAGGCTGTCTACCAGTCACTGGTCAAGATTGCCAACAGCCAAGGCCAAGGAAGCGGTGAAGCAAAGCAGAGGATTGTCGATCGACTCTTACAAGATGCTCGCGGTGGTGAAGAGAGCAGGTTCATTGTACGAACGTTGTGTCAACATGTAAGTTCTGGTTTTATAACAGCATTTCCTACCGAGCGCCTAACATCGGTAGCTACGTATTGGTGCCGTCAAGACCACCATGTTGATCGCTCTTTCAAGAGCTTTCCTCCTGTCCCGACCTCCTGGGGCTGAGTTCCCACTACGATCAGTCAGGGACCTTCAAAAACTAAAGAAGGAAGAGCTCGCTGAAGTATGGAGCAGGCCAGAGGAAATACTAAAGGCCTGCTTTGCGCGACGGCCCAACTACAACGACCTTGTACCCGTCTTGTTGGAGATTGGCGTCTGCGATGAGCTACTACTTCGTTGTGATTTGACGCTACACATACCACTCCGGCCCATGTTGGGAAGCATCACGAGAGATCTTTCCGAGATGCTCACGAAACTCCAGGGTCGAGACTTTGCCTGCGAGTTCAAGTACGACGGCCAAAGAGCTCAGATTCACTGTGATGAAAATGGCAAAATTTCAATCTTCTCAAGACACCTCGAACTCATGACGGACAAGTACCCCGACTTGGTTGCATTGATGCCTAAGGTTCGCGACGAAGGCGTCAATAGCTTCATCATGGAGGGCGAAGTGGTGGCCGTGGACAGCGAGACGGGAGATTTGAAGAATTTCCAGACGCTGAGCAACCGAGCGCGGAAAGATGTCGCTATCGGCAGCGTGCAGGTCAACGTTTGCATGTTCGCCTTTGACCTCATGTTCCTCAACGGACAACCCTTACTAAACCGGCCCTTTCGGGAAAGAAGAGAGCTCCTGCGGTCCATGTTTATCGAAGTCCCCCGCCAATTCACCTGGGTGAAGAGCCTGGACGCTACGTCACAAGACTCGGACACCGTATTGGAGTTTTTCAAGGCCGCAACCGATATCAAGTGCGAAGGTATCATGGTCAAAATCTTGGATAACTTGACTGATGTCCCCTACCAAGGTGACGGCGCAGTAGATGCGGACGGCGAGGTTGCCGAAGAACCCAGAACGCCTTCAAAGTCAAGATCACGAAGCAAAGGCACCAAGGACGAGGAGGGCGCTGCAAAGAAAAAGGGCAGGCGCAAGCCTCTCCTGGCTACATACGAGCCCGATAAACGTCTAGACTCGTGGTTGAAGGTCAAGAAGGACTACAACTCAAGCTTTGAGACATTGGACATGATCCCGGTAGCCGCATGGCACGGACAAGGCCGCAAGTCCAAATGGTGGTCGCCGATCCTCATGGCCGTCCGTAACGAGGACAGCGGCGCCCTCGAAGTTGTGTGTAAGTGCATGTCGGGCTTCACCGACGCCTTCTACAAGGCGAACAGGGAACACTACGACGATGGCGAGCTGGCCGAGAGGCAGAACACGCGTACCCAGAAGCCCGCCTTTGTCGAGTACTCTGGTCCCGAGCCTGACGTGTGGTTCGAGCCACAAGAGGTGTGGGAGATGGCGTTTGCGGATATTACTCTGAGCCCGACATACACCGCCGCCATTGGGCTTGTCAGCGACGAGCGAGGTCTGAGCCTGCGGTTTCCTCGATTTTTGAAGAAGCGGGAGGACAAGAGCATGGACGAGGCGAGTACTAATGAGTTCCTTGCTGGTTTGTGGAGGAAGCAGGAGGCGAAGGCGCCGACGAAGGAAGGGCAGGGCGATGTTGTGGACGAATTTGAGGAGTAAGATCAGATCAGCAGTTGGGGTGTTGGTCGGCAAGCTTGCGTCAATGTTACGATAGAGTTGAGGATATCAGTGTGCTTCATTGACCATGGGATCGGCGGAAATTCGCGATATGGAGGGGTCCTCGGAGCCGATGGCTTCTTCCTGGTGAGGTTCGGAGATAACTCCAGTCGCTTGCCTCTTCGCCTTTCAGGCTGCTTGGCACTGTCAAATGACCAGAGAATCCGGGGTTAGATGAGTAGATGTTGTTGACAGGGACAAGAAGTCTCAATATGAACAAAAACACCACAAAAGTAATTTCTGAAAATACCCAACAACTCTTGGCCATACTCGGGCGCGAGAATCCTGTAACACGTCGGATTATTTGAACAAGTCTTTTCCAGTCCGTCCCGCCTGGGCCGGTGAGATAATGTCCTCATTGGAGAAGGTCACGCAGCCCGAGGCGTACCCGTTGAAGAGGACTGCTCATTGTCCGAATAATGACCTTCCGGTTCTTGTATATCGCGACGTTCTCCACCCACTCAACGAGGATAGCGCATCGGAAAGACTTCAGCGTCACGGCTGGGAGAAGAAGGTGAGAATGCTGACTTACCAATTCTTCGCATTTGTATTTGACGGCGTTATTAATATACCCTTCTACCTATAGGGAACTTGGGGCACTATAAGTCTCAAGCACTTTCACCCAAACACGCATGAGTGCTACGGCAGGTCCATCAATTCCTTTGAAACATTCAACGCGATTGACCTGTGAAGCAGGCGTCTTTCAAGGCAGCTCCGAGCTAGTATTTGGTGAAGGGGTCTCGGACATATTCGGCAGCGGAGTACGATGTGTAGTGCGAGCCGGCGATGTCGTCGTTGTCCCAGCGGGCGTGGGGCATGCGTCCGTCTCAAAGGCTGAGGGGGCAGCGGACCCCGTTGAGGGGGAGGCCGAGTATCGATACGTTGGAGTTTATCCCGAAGGTTCACCTCATTACAAATACGAGATCGGCAAGAAGTTGTTGGAGGAGAAGAGCGGGCTGATAGAAGAGGTTTCCGCCGTTCCCGTACCGCCCAATGATCCTCTATACGGGCTTGATGGGCCATTGGTGAGAATCTGGAACAACGCAAGAGGAATATCTGTTCAAAGCACGGAATCATAGACAAAAGGGTTCGACGTTGAAAGCTATGCCAGTGAGTTTGGTTCTAGTCAGGCCAGATCTTTTGGGGAAGCACTCAAGGAGAGCAACTCATGATGGTGAATTATTCTTACGATTTGAGATGGACGTGGAGAAGAACGTTCCCACATTGGCCTATCACACGATCACTTGACCAGAAATAGTATCAGCTGCCAAGTCCCGCAAAGCAGAGGAACAAATAATGTTCATTGATATCAGTGACCTGTGTCATTGAGCCTAGCACGGTGCGTTTTCGCATCGCAATGCCTACGACTATAGTAGCACCTGCGCCATTTCGGCATCTTCTTTATGCCTTCAGGTGACTCCTCAATCTGATACCATGCTCGCATCCTCGCTCCAACCACAGTTGTGAGTCTCTGTAAGTCATGAGCCGCCCGTACCAGGGCCCGACCCTGTCCTCAACGAGTATCACTTTCCCAATTGCCATAGGAAGAGGTTGCCCGCACATGTTCAACTTCGTCCTTGAGCGCAAATTCCCTTTCATCTTGCGAGATCTGTCTCGCAAGGCTAATCTCCTCGTCGACCTGTGGCTCTGTTGCGGATGGCGTTGTTGCGGAGCGCATCATCTTAGACCGCAGAGCTCTGAAGCAGGCTTTGCGCACCTCTGGATACCCGACGCGGCAGGCAGTCATTGAAAAGCTCGAAATCTGTGGTTCATTCAATCAACACTGCTAACTGAGTGCGTTGATTCATTTCACAGCGTTCATCCTCTGGGCAATCAAGCTGAAGATGGTCACAGAGCTCATGAAGAGGACTGCGTTGTAGAACTGCACGACTGGTAAGTCAAGAGACACTTTGGAGCTGTTCAACACCGGCTCACTGCTTTCCTAGACACTTCCCGCTCTTCATCATCCGTTCTTGCCTCGATAAATAAACGACGCAGGTTGGGTAATGTGGCCTGAGACTTGTCAGATGTTTGTCATTCACTGAATGAACGGAGATGGCTCACCATAATAGTTTAGTGGTTGTTATTGGCAGTGTTTCAGATCGTTGGCTTGAGTCGGATTTCTTGGATTCTTGCGTTTTTTGAAGGGGATAAAAGCTTTGTAGCGCCGCAGAGGAGTTGAAGAAATATAACAAAACGTGAGGTCAAGGGCAACTGATGGAAACTGGCGATGTTGCAATGAGCTTATCAATGTTTACTTGCCTTAGAGCTTGGTACCCTGTACCTCTATAAAAGAGTTTCCGATAAAGCAACAGGCCCGGTAGTTGCATGTGCATCGCTGTGGAGTCGCCAAGGAGGATACAGCGCCATTCAGTTAGCGAATCGGAGCAGTGCAGCGCCCAGCACTGCTGCCAGGCTGGCCAGGCTGGGATTAAGGTTAGGGGTGCATTCCACTGCCAGGTACTTCTCCGACCACCTCATCCTCTTGGCGACTACCGACGAGGTGCATTCACTGCATTCCCCGGACACCTACGACGAGCAAAAGCAAGCGGACAGCTGTCGAATACCGAGACTTTACTTTTGGATGAGCTTGTCCAGGTCCTGATCGGACTGGCTATCTCTCTCATCTGCCAGATCGCCTCTAGCTCCCTCCGACAACCCACCCTAAACCACCATACCTCCTACCTCGAGCATCTCCCGACACCATGGCGGTCAATCGGATTCGTGGGGCCTTTGCTGTCCCGAGGAAGGGAGAGACCTTTGAGCTGCGGGCAGGCCTTGTCTCTCAATATGCCTATGAGCGCAAGGAATCCATTCAAAAGACGATTATGGCGATGACGTTGGGCAAGGACGTGTCTGCCTTATTCCCCGATGTCCTGAAGAACATCGCGACAGGCGACTTGGACCAGAAGAAGCTGGTTTACTTATACTTGATGTAAGTCTGCAGTCGAAAACGGTTCACTTCCTGGACGAGACGTCTAGAGCGACTACTGATAGCATGCAACAGGAACTACGCGAAGTCGCATCCAGATCTCTGTATTCTTGCCGTCAATACTTTCGTACAAGATTCCGAAGACCCAAATCCCCTCATCCGTGCGTTAGCGATCCGAACGATGGGCTGTATCAGAGTCGACAAGATGGTGGATTACATGGAAGAGCCGCTGCGGAAGACACTACGAGACGAGTCGCCATACGTTCGCAAGACGGCCGCTATTTGTGTCGCCAAGCTGTTCGATCTTAACCCCTCGATGTGCATAGAGAACGGCTTCTTGGAGTCGTTGCAGGAATTGATTGGGGACCCGAATCCCATGGTCGTCGCAAACTCGGTTCAGGCGCTTTCAGAGATCACCGAAACCGCACCAGAGACTCGAGCCCTTGTAGTGACACCGGCCACACTGAAGAAGCTGTTGATGGCTCTCAACGAGTGCACGGAATGGGGTCGCGTTACTATTCTTACCACGCTGGCCGACTATCCTGCTGCGGATACCAAAGAGTCTGAGCACATTTGTGAAAGAGTTGCGCCGCAATTCCAACACGTCAACCCTAGTGTGGTTTTGGCCGCCGTGAAGGTGGTGTTTATCCACATGAAGGCAGTCAGCCCGGAGCTTGTGCGATCATACCTCAAGAAGATGGCGCCGCCCCTTGTTACGCTTGTGGCTTCCGCCCCTGAGGTGCAGTACGTTGCTCTTCGCAATATTGACCTCCTCCTGCAGGCCAAGCCCGATATTCTTAGCAAAGAGCTGCGTGTCTTCTTCTGCAAATACAACGATCCTCCTTACGTCAAACTTCAGAAACTCGAGATCATGGTTCGGATAGCCAACGAGAAGAACTTTGACCAGCTCCTCGCAGAACTGAAAGAATACGCTTTAGAGGTCGATATGGACTTTGTTAAGCGCGCCGTCAAGGCCATTGGCCAGGTTGCGATCAAGCTCGAGAGCGCTAGTCAAAAGTGCGTCAATGCATTGTTGGACTTGATTGCTACAAAGGTCAACTACGTTGTGCAGGAAGTTGTGGTGGTTATCAAGGACATTCTCCGTAAATATCCTGGTTACGAGGGCGTCATCCCCACGCTCTGCAAGTATATCGACGAGCTGGACGAACCAACAGCAAGGGGATCGCTGATTTGGATCGTGGGAGAGTACGCTGAGAAGATCAACAACGCCGACGACATCCTGGAAAGTTTCGTGGAGGGTTTCATGGAGGAGTTCACACAGGTTTGTCGATTCATTCCACATATTCAAGTACTAGGCTAACTTCCAGCAGACTCAACTCCAGATCCTGACTGCCGTGGTCAAGCTCTTCCTTAAGAAACCTGGCAGCAACCAAGGACTGGTCCAAAAGGTGCTTCAGCAGGCTACAACAGACAACGATAACCCAGATATCAGAGACAGAGCTTACGTCTACTGGCGTCTATTGTCAGGCGATTTGGATGTCGCCAAGAATATTGTTCTCTCTCAGAAGCCCGCCATTACCACAACAATGACTAGCCTACCCCCAGCTCTCCTCGAGCAACTTCTCGCAGAGCTTTCCACTCTGGCATCGGTGTACCACAAGCCACCAGAATCATTCGTTGGCAAGGGTCGCTATGGAGCAGACGAAATCCAGCGCGCGGCCATCCGCGAACAACGGCAAGAGGCGGCCGAAAACCCCATTGCTGCGTCAGTGGCAGCTGTGGCCAACGGCAACGCCAACTCACAAAACAATATCGAAAACCTTCTCGATATCGACTTTGACGGTGCTGCCCCTGCATCAGCTGAGCAGCAGAGCAACATCAATACCCCAGACAGAGTTGCCAGTCCTGCGGGAGGTGGTAACTCGAGTGCCATGGCTGATATGATGGGCTTGTTTGACGCTCCTCCGCCGCAGCAACAACAGCAGGCAACCAACCCGATGAGCCCCGGAGCGGGCGGTGGCGGCATGAATGACATGATGAATGGCTTCGCTGGGCTCGACTTTGGCAACACAGGCTCCGGGCAGCCCTTGCCGGCGGGTATGCAATTACACCAGCCTGCACAGCCGCAAGGGGGCGAAGGAAACGGGAAGAAGACAAACGAGGACTTGCTTGGGTTGTTCTAGATCTCTTGCTAATGGAGCTGGTTCATCGGGGAGTCCAGGCATGCTGTTAGGAGTAGGTTGATAAATGACAAAGAACGAAGCCACGAAAAGCCTGCTTCTGCTTTTCTGCTTTCCGCGAAAAAAACTCATGTATATACTCGAAAGGGGGGTGTCTAGACCAAACACCTATCGCGCCGTCCTTCCAAGATGCCTGCCTCCATGTTCTTCTTAATGTCGCGCGTGGCGTCTCTTTTACCGCCTTGTTTGGGGACGTATTTCCCTGCATATATGTCCATGTCGCCCCAAGCGCCCAAGTCATCTCCGTGTTCGGCGCGAAGTGACACTGATGTTGATGCATAGTGCTTTCCTCTCTCTAACCGGGGCGGCCAGTCCAACCCCAATTCCGGTGCGTTGTGTATCCCAGTTTCCCTTGTTCACTGCGCAACGCCCTCCACCCTACCGCCGACAGTCCCGTCCATCGGCGGGCCGTCGCTGCCACCGCCGGCGGCGGCCCTATCGCGCTCCCACTCGGCAGGTGTCTGGCACTTTGCGCTCCAGGCGTGGATCTGGGCGATCTCATCCTTGAGGGCGGCGTTGACGAGGCGGTGGCGCTTGAGGGAGGTTTGTTTCTCGAAGGCGGGGGAGACGATTGTCGAGGTGAAGGCTTGACCGCAGCCGCCTGTTGTATAGAAAGATTAGCTTATGGGGAAGCCCAGAATGTCGCATCATGGTGGCTTCGCATGGGAGAGGTAAGGTGCACTAGGCGCGACGGATGGTGATGCGCGGGCGAGTACTTTGATTTCTAACATGGCGGGGCATGACGTGGGGGGTTTTTCGGCTGGAGGAGTGCTGGCAAGCAGACGTACCTGACATATCCGAGATCTCGACGTGAATTGCCTGCAGACGCTCGGTGAGGGCCTGCTTTAGCGAAGCCTCTGTTATTTGGTTTGCCATTTTGTATGCGATTGTGAGGATATCTAGTGGTTCTCGGGAAAGGAGCGACGATCGGGTTCCAAGGGGTGGCAGCAGCTTTGGGTTGGGAGATTGTCGAAAATCGGAGGTGCTTGGTTCTGCGGTGGGTTTCCTGTTGTGGGCGGCGTGGCTTGGGTCGGCGATTAGATTGATTAGATGGTGGGGTTCTTTTTTGACAGTATCAGGCGGAGTGGTTCCGTCATTGGGGTCTGAAGTGAGGAAGGTAATTTTGGTGGCTTCTATAAGTTTTAGGGACCTTGCTGGAGATGCTGCCCTTTCTCATGGATTACTTCACTGGCATATTTCCTTGATGTGAGCGCCTTGAGCCTGTGTTGCCTTGCTTAGTTTTCTTCATCTCATAGTTTCCTTTACATCGTCACCGTGTGAAGAAAGCTGTGAAGAAGGCGTTGTCCGACTTTCACCATTGTATTTGGCATCCAGATCATTGAAATGGGGGCAGTTTCACCAGAGCGCAAAGATCTCAGTTGATATAAAACGCTTCAACGCTGCGACCTCTGCTGTAAGCTTAGAACCTTGCCACCATCAGCGGATACTCGTGCTCGCGTTCACGGGTCACATCCTCTTCTGGCTTGTAACCTTGGACCAGAAGGGGATAGATACATCAAAGGATACTGTATCCATCCATAGAGACTGCGACCATGGGACTCAAGGCCTGGTGCTGATCAAGCCGCTGCGTACTGCTCGGATTCGTAAACGAACATTTCCAGAGGCGTTGTAGACAAACGAGAACGGGTGACTAGTTCATGGCACTAGGACTACGCAAATTGCCCTGGCCACAAGTTCAAAATGGTCCTGTCAGATGAAGCCATTAGAATTAGCAACTATCATCGCCTCAATCACGATATACACAATCCGACAGGCCCACACAAGCGTGCGATTCTGACGCTTAGATTTGATGAGGAAGAAAGTATTGAAAGGCAAGGTTGTGTCGGAGTCATTTCCTACGGGAGATTTGAGAAGATGCCATAGCTGGGTGTACCTCTGTAAGGTCAAAGTCCCCTCTTGAGCTACTTTGAGTAGCTGTTGCTCACAAGATGGAACCTTTAGCGAGGGCCTTGCATAAATAAATAGATTGCTTTACAATCAGAAATCTGGGTGCTTTTTCATTCTCAACAGTTTTCGATTTAGATTAGGGGTTACTACCGGACAGTCTCGAAGCCCTCTGCATGTAGACAGTGAGTATCAACCCTTGGACGAGGAAGATGCCTAAATCAACAATACCTCACTCTGAGGCATCATAAACATGCAAAAATAGCAAAAGAAATGAAGTATTCCGAAACCGAGAATCGAACTCGGGGCTATGCCTAACCTCTCATTGAGGATGAGAGGGCATCATGTTGGCCACTACACCATATCGGATTGGTGGTTGTTGAAAATTGCTCGAAGACTTTGCAACAAGTACTGTAGGCGGATTGGCAGTCTCCGCTTTCGGATACTTACTCGCTCGTTCATCATCCGCGTACATACCCTAGGCAGCCAAGCACTGGATGCGAATCAGTGGTAGACATGGAATCGTGCTCAGACATAAAAGCTTAAAGAGAAGATTTAGCTGAGTTGATGATAATAGAAATCAGGTCTCTCTCAATGTTGATGAAAGAAAGAGCCAGGTGAGAGAGGTTTACCTTAGTTGATGACACGAAAGTCAACATTGAGGCAATGGGGAGCGCACGACTTGGAAGTGGGGGTATGTGTCATGGCGGGGCTTATGTCATTCAGTCAAAACACTAATGACAGAAGATATCTTCGTATGCAGTTAATGGATATTTGGATGAAGCTTGAGCTCTGCAACCCCTCTACAACATTACCTCATACCACGACATCCAAATTCAAGGCTTAGGATTTAGGAACTGGAGCGTGCTGCATGTCAATTGATTTCGAAAAGAACAAAAGTCTGTTTGATCCATTTATATCTGGACTCTACAAGAGAAGCTATGCTCACTGGTTTCAGGACATCCATCCAGTCAATGAGCTGCAAGCTTGCCAGGGCATCAGCGCATATAAGTCGACGGTCTTGCGGGTCTACAGCTTCACTTCGGCTTCCACCCTTGAATATCTCCACGAAAGTCCACAACTCTGCTTCTTATTTCTCGACAGCCTCTCGCCTTCACCAGACTCATCTTGCCACACCAAATCTCAAAATGGCGGCCAGCAACAAGTACTCTTCTCCAGGCTTCACCGCCCAAGTGGTGGCTGCCATGCGCAAGCAGTAAGTCTTTCCACAAACTCATGGTCCAACACAAATCAGTTAAAACTAAATTGTCCCACACAGCTACCCTGAAGAGATCGCCGACAGAAGGTGGGACAATGTCGGTCTTCTCCTGGATAACATCGCGACCACCACAACCGCTACGCCCAAAAGCCCAGTCGTCCTTCTCACCAACGACCTCACCTACGCCGTCGCCGAAGAGGCAGTCCAGAAGAAAGCGAGCGTCATCGTTAGCTATCGTGAGTCTCGCCCCGAACCAATTTTCAGTCCCTCAAACATCTAACAACCTCTCTAGACCCCTTCATCTTCTCCGGCCTAAAGTCCATCACAACAAAAGACCCACAGCAAGCAACCCTCCTCCTCCTTGCCTCCAACGGCATCGCAGTCTACTGCCCCCACACTGCAGTCGACGCCGCCCCCAACGGCCTCAACACCTGGCTCGGCGACATCGTCTCCGGTGGGCCCGCCTCCTCCTCGACCGCGGCCCCGTCAGACCGCACCGTCATCACCCCTCACGCCTCGCCCCCCGCCGGCTTCGAGGGCTCAGGCTACGGCCTCCTCTGCACTTTCCGCCAGCCCGAGTCTCTTGCCGACATTATCCGACGCGTGGCCTCCCGCGTAGGCATGCGTCGCGTCATGGTCGCCTCGCCGGACCCGTCGGCCGTCTCGACGGCGCGCGTGGGCGCCGTGGCCGTGTGTGCGGGCAGCGGGTGGGACGTCGTCAAGGGTGCGGCTGCGGACGTGGTTGTCACGGGCGAGATGAGCCATCACAATGCGCTCAAGGCCGTGCAGGAGGGTAAGACGGTCGTTACTGTGTTCCACAGCAACTCGGAGAGGGGCTACCTTACCGAGGTGATGAAGCCTCTACTAGAGGGAGAGCTGAAGCAGCAGCAGCCTGATCTGCAGGTTCTCGTCAGCACGGCTGATCGGGATCCGTTTGACATTGTTGATGTTTCTGAGCTGTAAGTCCATTTGTGGATTGAACGTTCAAGAGAAAAAGCAATGTGTTCAAAAGTTTAGGAGACAATTAAGCTCACACTTGGGGCCAAAGACAAGCTCGAAGCAGCCATCTGTAGATGGCTGACGAAGGTGCCTTCCTTTCGAACATTTCGAGTCCTAGAGTTGACACTCTTACCACAACCGAGACTTTCCTAAGCATTTTACATGAGAGTGGGTTTGCTGTGTCTGTGCAAATGACGATCCGACTTGATTCTCTGAAGATGCTGGGAGTGATGGAGTAGACGTGTGAAATCTGTGATTTTTGTCCAGTTCTATTCGACAAACCTGTCTCTTCTGCTACAAAACACAAAAGTTGCGCCAAGCCCAAACGCCAAGTAACTCCATCGCTATGCCCGCAAACCCCAAAACACAACAACACCAAGAATGAGAGATCTCAGGATCTCACGCTATCCTTCGAAGCCCTCACACTGCTCTCCCCAGAGCCACCAGCCCTCAGCGCCGCATCCCCCTCTTCAAGACACTCGGCAACATCCTTCCCGCCGACGCCCTTCTCCTTCCAAACCTCAAGTAGTCGCCGCGGCATCTCCCACGCCCGCCGCGCCTCCTCAACCTTGCCCTCCTTCACCAGCCTTCGCAGCTTCTCGGGTGTCCCCAGCACCTCCCTCGCGAGCTCCCGCGTCCTACTCCGCGTCGCCGCCGCCGCCTCGTCCTCGCCCTCCCCCTCCTTGGACGCCGGCGGCGCGACTGTCTTGCGCAGCGCCTCGCGAATTGAGCTTGCCTGGGCGTAGATGCCCGCGATCGCGGGGTCGAGAGTCGAGGCCATGGGGTTCAGGGGGTCCATATTTGCGCGCATCTGTTTTCAAACGTCCCCAAGGGTTCCTCTTAGCTTTTATCGTTCTTTTTGATCATTTCTTGTCTGTATTTCGCTTGTAGATTTGACTCTCTCTGGGATTCTTGAAATAGCCAAAGATTTACAATGAGATCCTGCTCTATGCTTACCTTGCGAATCGTCTCCGTCGCGGAAATGAGCTTGGAGTAATTATCATACACCAGGGCCTTCTTCTCCGCGTCCAGCGCCCTGATCTCGCCCAGCACGCGGGTATACACCCTCAATAAATCGTCGAGCGTGTTCTCCGCCAGCGCCTTGCGCACGTACGCCTCGGCGTCAAAAGTCGGGCTGTCGAGCTCGCTGGGTGGGACCTCGGAGTGCTCCACGTGGCGTTCGTGGTCTTCTGTGATTTCTAGCGAAGGGGGCGTGCCGTTCCCGCCGGCCGCGGCGGCCTTTTTGAGGTTGTAGTACTCGCGGAGGGCGGCTCGGTTCGCGCGCTTCGAGGGTCCGCCTGATGGCGCCGCTGCCGCTGCGCCCCCGGGACCGGTCCCGTTCCCGAAAGTCGCGGAGGAGCCTGGGTTCGGGGAGCTCGTGAGGGAGCGGGGGGTGTCGAGAGAGGGTCTGGTTGAGGATGTCGGGGTGTGTGGTTGTGCTGAGACGCGGCGGGTGAGGGCTGGCGGTTCGCGGGGGGATGCGATTGTGGACATCTTGGTTGGAGTACACGGCCTTGCGTAGGGGTCTTCTTTCAATCGTTATAAGATGGAGAGGATGCCAATTGAGAGTCTGGTCGGAGGTGTTCTAGGTGTTAGGGGTGTTTGTGTAAAGTTGGATGGTAGTGACAGATCGAAGGAAGCGAGGCTGACCTTGAGAGGACGACGGGGATGCAGGCGATAGGTCGGCGACAGAGCTCCTGTGGGGTGCGCGTGCGCCCCCTGAACTCCAGCTGCACAGCGAGGCTGCGCTAATTGACACATGCTAACGGCCGGGATCTGCAGTGGGGATGGGAGCCCAGGGTTTAGAGGTTTTGGGGTAGCTTACCCCACTGAAGCTATTCTTCTCCATCTCCAACCTAAACTCATTCGAAGCAACCAACAAACTTCCTCTCGATAAACTTAGGATGTAATTAGACAACCACCAAACGTGAACCGGCACACGAAAGATAACATGGACTACACAACCAAAATCCGATCCACCCTCCAAACCCAATCCTTTCCGATCCCTTCCCTCCCCTGGACCACAAGCCTGACCTCGCGCGTCCCGACCCCCCCGCTCCCCTCCCTCATCGCGACCGCCAAAGCCCGCCTCCTCGCCTCGGACCTCACGACGCCAGGCCTGCTCGACCCCTCCGCCACCGCGAGCCTCCCCACCGCAAACCCTGAGCTGTCCGAATCGATCCTGCAGCGAGAGGTTCCCTGCCAGGTCCTCGACGTCGAGAACCTGAGCCTCTCGCGCTGGGAACAGGTCGAGGAGCTCGAGGCCGTCGCGAGGGGGGAACAGACGACGGGGCGGAGGGTCGTGAGGCTTGCTGCTGCGGCTGATGAGCCCGAGTATGATAATATCGACGAGGGCAGCGGCGGCGGTGGTGGGGTGGGTAGTAGAGTTACGCAACCGCAACAGCAGCAGCAGCAGCGACGGAACGCTACGCACCGGCTGGTACTGCAAGACTTCAAAGGCACCAAAATTTACGCGCTGGAGCTCAGACGGGTAGACAAGATTGGGATCGGGAGCACGACTATCGGCGAAAAGATTGTGCTCAAGAAGGGGACGGTCGTGGCGAGGGGCACTGTGTTGCTGGAGCCGGATAAGTGCGTGATGCTTGGGGGCAAGGTCGATGCGTGGCAAAAGGCATGGATCGAAGGGCGGATGGCGAGATTGAAGGAGGCTGTCGAAGCGGAAAGGTGATATGGCTTGAGGAAAACGGTGTTGGTGTGGCATCACTTGAAGTTTGGCATTGATACCCCCTTGATTTATTTGCTCACGGAAAACTGGGCAGCACGAATTTGCTTCTATTCTTTCTTGTTTGTAGGCTAGCCTGCAGCAGGCTATGCTAGGTCTCATGAAGAGCTGGTTTTCGATTCATATCTGGCCAATGTTGACCATGTATGTGAATACTTCCCCCTATCATATTCAGTTCAACAGTAACCTTGATATCATTACATCTGTTCACCTAATTGCCGTACACAGCCTCCCGCAGAGAGTTCCAACCATCAGGCTTCCAAGGAGCCAAGAAAATGGCCGTCTGGGCATCCGCCGCGACTCCCGTCCCAGCATATGCCTTTGCCAAACTCTCCGCCTCAAGCGTACCTCTGGGCGGCGCTCCCTTTTTGGCCACCGTCAACGCCATCGCGGCAGCATGCTGCTCCCCGCTAAACTCGGCCAGGTTCGACCAGCCGTGCGGCAGGTGGGGGTAGAGCATGATATCCGTCTGGATCTGCGTCATGACGTCCTCCTCCGTGCTCGTATCCCCGAGCTTCGCAATGGCGTTGAGCACCTCGCCAATCTGCGACTGTTCTGCGTCCCCGACATTGTGGCTGGTCCGCAAGCCCTGCAGCTCGGACACGACGGCCTCGACCGACTCCTCGTCGTTGTCGAGAATGGCGATGACGCCCAGCAGGAGGACGGACTGGACATGGTCGGGCTGCTTCTCTATGACCTCGAACAGCGCGCCGCGGGCCTTTTCGCGGGACTCCTCGGCGCCCGTGGCCCAGAGCACCTGCGCAAGGAGACAGACAGCGTCCGGGTTGTTGTCGGACTCCTCGAGCGCCGATTCGAAGCATAGGAGAGCCTCATTGACGTCCTCGCTGTAGTACTGCGCCAGTCCGACGGTTAAGTGCGCCGAGAGACGCGCCTTCTTGCGCTCTTCCCTGCTCAGCTCGTTGTCGGACTCGTCGGCGCTCAGCTGGATGGCCATCTCGCCGCACTCAATGGCCTGCTCGAACGCGCCCGCGGCGAGGTAGGACCTCGCCAGGTCGGTCTTGGCCAGCGCGAAGTGCGCGAGGGACTGCGGGGACTCGGTAACCTCGTAGTCGGACTCGAGAATGCCACAGATCTTCTCAAGCGTCTCCACCGCCTTTCCCGTATCGCGGGTCCGCTCCAGGAACATGGCCGACAGGTGTCCGTACGCGAGGTCCTGGGGCTTTAGGCTGTGCAGTTGGCCTAGGGCGAAGATGGGCTGGATAAGAGAGGCGACGTTGGCGGACGTGGTGCCTAGGATGAAGTCGAACACCGCCACCGAGTACTGACGTCTGGTGAGCACCGAAGACGCCTCGGCGATCTCCATGGCGTGCGTAAACAGGCCCCTGGCCTCCTTGACCTTTCCGTACAAGAGTGCCACGAAGCCCTGGCCGAGCCACGCGTGCGCGTAGTCGGGATCGGTCGACTGCGCCCGGTTGAAGGCCTCATTCGCGAGCTGCACGTCGTTCTGGAGAAGGGCCAGGGTGCCGAGGTTGGTCCAGGCTGCCGGGCTCCTCTCGTTGAGGTGTAAGCTGCGAACGAACGAGTGCTGCGAGACGGCCGGGTTGACCTCGCTCGTCACAACACCCAAAGAGTTCCAAAAATCCGGATTGCCGGCTTCCAGCTCAATGGCTCGCTTGAAGCACTTCATGGCCGTCTTCAAGTAGACGCTCGACTTCTTCCTGATGCTCGAGGGCAGGCAAATGTGAGCTCGGTGCTCGGCCCAGCCGAGGTTGTAGTATGCAACTGCTTGTGCGTGCAAGTCGTTTGCGGAGACGTGGATTGCCCGCTTGTGACACAAGATCGTTGCATGGATGCATCTTGTCAGATCAACACCAAGTCTCTCATCTTCAGAGAACAAGCCCTTTGCGGAGATGACACCGGTTCCGACGTTATCCACATCGGCAAAGAGGTCATATGCCTCCTTATCGCCACTGTCGATGAGTGTCATGATTATATCTGCTGGGAAGTCGACCGCTCGGCTTTGTACCGCAGAAAAGACGGAACAAGCATCAGCAAGTGACTTCCAGAAGTTGAAGGTCTCGGTGACACTTGCAGCGGCCTTTGAGGCAAAGTCTATCGTGTCAATGGCAAGGTGTACCGCCTTCCCAAATAGACCCTTCTCTACACTGTCAAGAGCACTGTCGACCATGGTCTGTATGAGAGCAATGGCAACACCATCCTCGTCAGGGCGGCCCTCGATGACATCCTGGTAGAGAGCGATGGCCTCATCGAATTCAGCCAGCTCACGCTTGACATTAGCAAGCATGTACTTGGTGAACCAAGTGTCGCCCAGAGCCTCGGCAGGCGCAGTCTCCTCCAGCTTTTGGGCGTTGAGAATCGCCTTGGTGGCTGCAATGTACCGGCCAGAAGAGTAGTAGCTTTCACCCAGGCCAACCCACGAGTGGTAGTCCTCTGGGTGGATTCGCAGCGCAGATTGGAAAGACACAATAGACTTGTGGAAATCCTGCTTGTTCAGCTCCGCCACACCGAGGGCGGAGAAAGGCCAACTGATGCCCTTCCTCTTGGAGCCCGGGGGCGGCTTGACCTTTCCAGAATCAACCACACGCTGAGCCACGAGCTCGACTCTGTCCCAGTCGCCTTCGTCGGCAAAGGACTCGGCAAGACGCTTGGCGGCTTCGACTTCGGAGGCAGAGAGTTCTACGGCCTTCTGGAAGCAGCGTCTGGCTCTCTTCTTGTCTTTGGCGTAGTCGGCGTAGTAGACGCCAAGACTCGTGTAGGCTGGCGCAAAGTTGAGGTTATTCTTTAAGGCGTCCAAGAAGTACAAATAAGCGCCGGTGCGGCTCTTGCGGGCTGCCTTGGACGTGTCAATGTTCCAAATGCATGAACCTAGTCGGTACTGTGTCTGCGCGAGAAGCTCCTTCGAAGGCGTAGGCATCTCCTCGATGAGAGGCAGCGAATCCTCCAGCTCTGCCTTTGCAGTCTCAAAGTCTCCCTTGAGCGCCTGGACCCAGGCAGATTCGGTCTTGACCCGCAGATTGGAGGGATCTCTCTCCAAAGCACGCCCAAAGAAATCTATGGCGTCGTCGTAGTCCTCCTCTTCTTCATAGATGAGACCGACACCAATCAGTGCTGGAGTAGATGACGGATCATGTGACAGAACTCCTTCAAACAGCGACTTGGCCTCAGTGTGGTGTCTAGGCGACTGAAAGAACACCAAACCTGTTGCCAGATACAAAGAGAAGGCATCTTGGGTGTTCTGGAACGACATGCCAGTCTTGTTTCTCTCCGTCTTGATGTGTCCCATCGACTTGCGCATCAGCTCCACCGTCGTTTCGTGTTCCTCCAAATGCTGGTAGTATTCTCCCATCAAACGATGAGCAAATAGTGAGTTGGACGTAGTGATGCCCTCAGTCATCATCAGGATTCTATCCTGCTCCGTGAGCGGCACCATGGAAACGCCGCCTCCCTCATCGTCCTCGCTCTCTTCCTCGGTTTCCTCCGCTTCGAGAGCCGCCGGTGTCGGCTTGGGGAAGGGAGAGATGCTACTCGTTAGAAAGCCGGTGATGACTTTGTAGAGGTCGGTCTCGGGGAAGAATGAGCAATAGTCTCTCAGCATATTGACATCCCATTCCTTGATCTCCTTTGCGTCCTTGTAGTCAATGGCAATCTCCCAGGCAAGTCGGAAGGGGTGCTTGATGATGACCATGTCAAGCGCCAGTTTCAGGACCGCTTGAAGAGCCTGGCCCTTTTCCGGGCCGTGTGGTGCGACCAGGAGACGGTCGTAGCAGTACTGAAGAAGTTTTTCCTCATACTTTCGTCGGAGATCGTCATCGTTCGTCCAGTTGATCAGCTGGTGGTAGACGAACTCGAGCTTGCTCTGAGCTATGACTTCACGCTTGACCTCGAGAGTGACCTCAGTCAGACGCGCGCCGATCATTGTCCGTCGTTCGCCAATGAGTGTGTTTATGCGCTTCTTCTCGTCCGTCTCAATCATTTGCGCCATGGTCTCGTAGGTTTTGGCCGGGTGCGGGACGCGACCCTCTAGAGCAGGGTAGATTGGGCTCCCAGGTAGGATGACACTGAGAGCTTCGACATATTGCGAAGTATCCCCTTGAGATCTCGCAAAGTCAATGAACTTATCAATGACATCTTGGCACTTGTACATGTCTTCTGCATCACGGTAAATCTCAGCCAAGCTGATGGCAGCTTGCTGGTAGGCGGCTAATCGTTTGCGGTCTTGCTTCTCGTAGAGCTTGATAAGACCTTGCCACGCCTGACTGTCCTTTGGCCGTAGTGAAGCCGCAGACTTGTAAGCCTTCTCTGCATCATCGACGCGGCTCTTCTTGTCGAGGGCAAAAGCGAGGAAGATGGTCCTGCGAGGAGTGTCAGCAGCTGCCTTAGGTGTAGAGACGCGAGAAATCAAATGAGCCCGTACGCCTGGTAGTTCTTTGGCTCTCGGTCCAGAAATTCAGTTGCCTTCTGGATAGCATCATCCCATTTTTGCTGCTTCACAGAGTCGCCAATGGCCTTCAGTACAGCCTTGGCCCCGGACATCGTGGCTAGTGACAGATGTCGTGAATCATGAACGTGAGGTATTCTTCCAAAGGTGGGGCATCACCGTGGTGCTGGAAGGCCGAGAGTGACAGGAAGATAGAAGGTAAGGAAAACAAGAAGCCGAGAACAGAGATGTGAAGGTCACAGTGCGTAGTACCAGGCCTTGTGTATGTCGGTGGATGAAGTGAGATTTTCGTTGGTACCCTCTCTTGCAGTAAACCCTCGCATGAGAGGCTCAGTGAGGCATGAGCTGGTGGTGAGCGCTACAGAGAGCGGTGCCCCACCATCAACACCTCCCTTATTACATCATGCCCCGCTTTGAGCATAGCAGCTCCCCTACCTTAGGTAGCCAGAAGCTTTGCATCACCACTGCCCGATAAGATAAGGAATTTTAACCCACCAACCTAACCTAAGGTAGGTAACGACACCTGCCTACCTATCAATAGGGACCTTACCTTCACGTACCACTCTGACTACCTTACGATTAACAACTAATTAACGCTTGATCGTAGTTAATCAATCAGAGGAAGAAAAATAACAACAATAACCAGCGACTTCATGCACAACAGAATCCGTGGAGTGTTGCTTTGTGAGGACTGTTTTTTCCCTTTTCCAATGTAATTACTGGCCTCGCCGATATATACCACGCCAGTCCCGAGCTCTAGGCGGAGTTCGGGCCTCTCAGCAGAGACGCACTCTACTTTAAATAAATATCCAAGAAGCAGACGAGCACCAAAAAAGAATACGCTCTGCGAGACAAAAACTAGTGAACCGGATGCGTCCCTCCTTGCGCCATCGCTGCAACGATCAACGAGCGTTCCAAAACAGGTGTTTTCACGACGAATTCCACCCAAAATCTACCGCCATGATACGGTCTCTGCAACCCACGTATCCTCTTTCTTTTTCTCACGAACGTGAATTTTTCAAAGCCTTTCTCCCCTAGACGTCTTTGCCGCGAATCTTGGAGTACAGCACCGTGTCAAAAAAGTTGTAATTGGGGTCCAGCTCGCAGAAGGGATGCTGCGAAAGCAGGACATCTGCTGTAGGTCGCTCCAGCGGGTTTCTGTCGCAAGTTAGCAATGGACTGATGACCATATGGTATCAGACTTACACAGTGAAACAGTCCAGCATGAAGGCGATGGCCAGTGGACTGATAGTTTCTCGAACTTCATCAGGGATAGGCGGCGTTTCTCCGTTGGCGATCTTGTAGATGGCTCCCACAGCTTCTTCTTTGGACCAAGGTCGTCGACCAGCGAACATCTCCAGTACAACGCAGCCCAAACTCCAGATGTCGACCTTGGCACTGTAGCCCTTGCCTTCAGAGCGGATAACCTCCGGTGCCATCCAGAAAACTGAGCCCTGCATCGAGTTGGACTTGTCGTTGCCGTAAATGTTGTCCGTCTTCTTGGAGATACCGAAATCTGAAATCTTGCAAGTTCCGTCGAGATCTAACAAGATGTTGTCCGCCTTGAGGTCGCGATGCAGAATACCCTCTCTGTGAAGGTACGCAAGACCAGAAAGCATTTGCCGAGTGAGTGATGAGACAACAGACTCCTCAAACTTGCCGTGCTTGCGCAAGCAAGATCCGATACTGCCACCAGAAATGTACTCGAGGAAAATACTGATAGAAGTTTCCTTACGCTCGCATCCAAGGTATTGCACAATGTTCACGTGGTCGAGATGCTGCATGGTCTCAATCTCCTGATCGAGAGCTGCCACCAGCTCACGCATCTTCGCCTTGTCACCCTGCGCAGCCTTGGGGTTGACCTCGACTTCCTTGACAGCCAAAAATTCTCCAGTTGTGGCATTCATACCGAGGTAGACACGGCCATATGTACCCTTGCCGATAAGTTGACCCTTGAACCACCGGAATGTGGTCTGGCGTTTGGGAATGGTGTCCTGGGGAATCTGCGGCATGACCATACTGCCTCGCTGATCAGGCCGAATTTGTACAATATTGGCATTGAACATCTTCGTGCTCTTTCTCCTCATAAGTACTGATGTGTTCTGGGTAGCCTGGCCAGGTTGTGTGGTTGTCGTCGTGGTGAACCGCTTATTAGCCTCATGAGCGCCACGGGCAACCTCACGAATGGACTTCATCCGGCCCAGGCCGCCCGAGCGTCGAACACTCCTTTGTGCAACCGACGCGACCGACGCAGGACGCTCAAGTGCCTTGAGAGTAGACTCATCCGATCCGAGCGTATCGTTGTCATTGTAAAATGATCGATTGTTGGAAATGGCGGCACGAAGACTTGGTGGTGACTGGGGTGGCGCAGGACGTTTGGAAGCTTCCTTCTCCTCTCCCTCAGCAATGGGGGACGGCGGGTTGGCCTCTGCCTCGCCTTCTTCCAGTACGGGTTGATCAAGATCCAGGTTGGGGAAGAAGTCATCGAGGTTGTTAATAAGGGCGTCGGTGGTCGGACGATTGGCCCAGACATCCTTCTCTACAAACGACTTCCTCCTGCCCAGCTTGCTATCCTCCGATTCCGACTGAGGTGTGTTTGGAGTTCTGCGTGAACTCTTACCGCTCCTGGCACTCATGAGAGCGTCATCCTCTTCGCCTTCGGGGGTTCTGTTGCTTGCACTGCCCAAAGACTTGGGAGACGTGAATGACACTGAAAGCTGTTTCCCCTTAGATCTAGACGTATTCACCGTCAAGTTTGGCCGCCTATCGGTCGATTCATCAGGCGAATCGTCGCCGTCAAAAATGCGAGTGATCTTTGTCGGCTTGGGCTTGGCAGCAGCGATGGGAATGGCAAACAGGCCATCATCTGAGTCATCCCCTGAATCATCACCTCGCTCTGGAGCAGGTGGCGGAGCAGGCTTCTCAAAGCTGACCTCGGATTCAAGGAAATCAAAGTCCGGCCCGTGAGACTTGCGACGGTGAGGCTGGGGTGGTGCACTCTGGGGGAATGGTGGGGGGTTCATGGAGCTGGGGCTGATCTCGCGCGAGGCAACTCTGTGTACTGTTTGGTTTGTTTTAGCTGCCATTCCTTTTTTAGATTGCCTCCGCGGAATCGGAGTACCCTCGGGAGAGTAGTCCGGCACAAAGAAAGGCATGTTCCCGCGACTCCAGGTCAGAGTGCCAGGTGAGCCAGATAACGCTGATTGAGGGCTGTCTCGGCCCGAAAACGACTTTGCAAAGTCAACAGATGAAATAGCTCCCTTACCTCGGTCTGAATATTCGTTGCCTAAAGCTGGTTGCGATGACACTCGGTTGGGCGACTTGGATCTTCGGTTGGCGTTAACACCAACTGCCCCAAGGCCTCTGCCCATGCCCACAAGTGCTGCACCAATTCCGGCGACAGGCTGGCTCGAAGTCTTCTTCTTACGGTCTCCGTTCTGGCCGGGGAGCTCCATATCCTCAAACAGAGTCGAGGGCCGTCGCGGCGTAGGAGCTCCATCGGCAGACGACCGCATCGCATGCCCAGTCTTCCGACTCAATGAGTTGGCTTTGAGCAAGGTAGCTGATGGGTCACTCGGCGGCGCCGGAGGCTTCCGCACGGGGAACAGCACTTCCGGCTTCTTGTCCTCGTACGGCGATTGGCGTGGCTGGTCGAAGTCGACGGTCCTGCCGTGAATACCATACGGCGTAGTAGCACTCTCTGGCGTGTTGCCGGAACCCGCAGCTTTGCGCCTCTTTTCGAGGTACTCACGCTGCTTACGCTCCATCTCGGCACGATACTCGCTTGCTTCTTGGGCAAGCATCTTGTCATCTACCCTTTCGCCGGTCATGGTATTTTGCCTCGACGTTGGGGGAGAAGAACTGGATCTTGTCCGCGACAACCCGTTCAGTCGGTTGTATGCCTCCTCGTCAAGGGATGTATGCATTGGATTGCCATTAGCGTGACCAGAGCCCTGAGGCGCATTTCCGCCTTGACGAATAAAGAACTTGAGAGTCCCTATCGCGTCGGCTCTATGCTTGCGATTATTTAGTAGTTTCTGGTCGTCCAGAGGGTTCTCGTGGTTGAATTTGCCAAGCTCGGTGAGGTAAATTTGAGATGTCGTGGCATCCATCAGACCCAAGTTGCTACAAATGACGAGACGAAGGTCCATGGCCGACTCGGCCTCGGTGATGTCGCACATGCGATAATTGTATCCATCCATGGTAGCCAGTGCAAACACTCGGTTAGGGCCAGGACGTCGAGACTTGGCCGAATCCTTTTCGTGAACATCAAAACTGGATCCAGGTCGAATGTCCAAAGACGTTTCGCTGTTGTTTCCAAAGCGGGAGCCAAAAGAGTGAGGCTTGAAGCTGAGTGCTGGAGATGTCGGCGATTCCATGTCGTCGGGGCTTGGGAAACCGTCTTCTTTCTTTTGCTTGTTCTTTCTCGACAAGAAGCTGAGACTGAGGAAACTCTTAGAATCCTTAGCAGAGGACGGAGGCTCAGTGCCGGCTGAACGGTCACCCGTAGAATCCTGCGGCGATGGACGCCCTCCGTCTTGCCCGAGCCGCCGAGGCTCGCCGTTCCGAGTGGCTTGAATGATGTCTGCAATGTTCATTCCACTACGCAGCATTTGGGTAGCTTCAGGTGGGATACCTGACCCGTAAATAGCGGCGTTGGAAGATACAGAATCTGTGCTGTTTCTCGACCTGTGTCCGAATTTTGTTGAATGAGGAGACGCTGACATGTTGCCCGCGGAGGAGGGGAACAGCGAAGCGCTTTGAGGATTTGGACTGCCGTTCGGGCTGTCGGTCCGTAAGGGGGGCGGACGAAAAGTGCCCTCGCCGGACTCGCTGGCATTTGGACTTTGCCGGCGGATTCCGTCCCCATCAATCTGCTTCATGATGTTTCTGTGGCTTGAATCTGAACTCATGGTGCTGTTCAGAGTCGGCATGGTCGTCGATCTCGTTTGCGAAAATCGACGGCCGCCAAAACCTGGGCCGGGCGCTTTGATAGGCGTCTGCCGTCCATCAGTCTTTGGGTGTTCACCCACACGGGTAATCATACTCACGTTGGGAGACTCTGCCATATCCGTCCCAGCGCTAGGTAAGTTATTGCCGTGGTTGACCGACTCCTTCCGGCCATGCGACGAGACTTTGGAAGGGTCAGCCGGCCGGCCGGTCACGATGCTTCTGATGAGACGTCGCATTCTTTTGCCTTCTTCTCGCTCCCGCGGCTGGTCCCAGCCCGTCCCGCTGTTTGTGCACTCGACAGCCAATCGTGGGTATACTTGCTGGTGCATCATGCCAAAGTTACCCCTACCACCGTGCATACTACCGAGCTCAAGGAAGTGAACACCATGCAGGTTAAGCCCTTTGAAAGTCTCCTGCCAGTCCTTGGAGAATTGATTTGTAGCCAGCCACAACAGCACTTTTTCCAACGGCCATTGCGCCGCCAGCTCTGGGTGGATGCTTGAGGTACTGATGGACGTAGCATTGGAGGTCGTTGACATACCACGGCTGTGCATTGCTTGAGCGTACATTCTGTCCCTCCCTCCTGACACATCGTCTTGCGGTGTAGTCATTGCCGTATCGCCGCTGGTCTGACTGTTGGTAGGCCATGAGCTCTGGGAGGTTGCTGAGAAGGTCGCATTTTCGTCAAAGCCACCTAGACCAGGGATCCCAACTCCTTCGCCGTACGTGTCACCTTGTGGTATGTAGGTTGCCGACATAACATGTTCGTTCGGTGGAGGTGGGGGCGGTATCGATAGTGTCGTTCCCGTCGCAACCTGCGCGTGTAACTTTGGATTGTAGGCCTGGTGTTGTCCCGGCGGGGGAGGTGGCATATTGAAGCCGCCACGACCGTCGTACATGCGCCCAAAGGCGCCGTGCCATGGTGCCTGGCCTGCCATTGCGCTTCCAGGCGGTGGCCCTGGAGGCGGCGGAAGCATCATCCCACTCCCTCCTGTTGCGCCAGGAGCAGAAGGGAATCTCGGGGGCGGAGGAGGTATCGACATCATGTTGCTCATCTGGCCTTGCACGGGCGGCGACATAGGCGGCGGTGGAGGGGGGACCTGGAAGGGTCTCGAGGGGTCGGCCGAAGAGGCATGTCGCTGGGTGTTTTGATACATGGCCGGCGGGGGAGGCGGGCCAGCTCTGGTGGCTGGCCTCGCGGGATCGAGCCCGAGTAGAGGAGTTGTCGGAACGGAGCTCGCAGTCGAGGCCCTTGGGCGAAGACCGCCGGCGGAAAGAAGGTTGGAATTCCTCGGCTGAGGATACGGCGAGAGAGCGCCGTTACCGTTGAGGTTTGGCGACAGGATCTTTGGTGTTGTCGAGGTCGTCGTCGAGGTATGGGTGGGCAAGTCGTTGACGTTGAAGACGAAGCCGTCGAGATTGTGTATCTCGTCTCTGGATCGAGGCACAGATGGGAATGGGCTCGAATTTCGGTCGTGGGTATCAGATCGGGTCGCAGAGCGTTGGCGCGAGCTGGTGCTCATGGTATGCCAGGTATGGATGGTATGGGTACGCGGCACATGGCAGGGGTGGTGGTGTGGGCTGGTGGGCGCGAGCGGGCCTTCAGACCGTAGTCATGTTGCGGTAAGGCGGCGACCGTCGCTGTATTGGCACCAGGGCGTTATGCCTAATTATCGTAGATCGTGTTGGTGGTCTTGGCGAGCTACTGCTTGGAGTTTGACTCTCTCGGGCGCGCTAGGTATTTCTGGAGGAATTCGTCAAGTTGGAGGAATGTTGTAGAGAAGAAGATGAGGACCAAATGGGGGACTTTGGACTCGGGAGAGGGGTGGGTGGTATGTGAATGTAAGGTAGTAGCCGTTCAATGTCTTTCAGCTTACGGATGTGGATAAGGTAGGCAGTGGCAGGCTGGCAAGGTACTGGTATGTTGTGCAAAGGCGGGCGGATAGAGACAGAACAGAAGACAAACCCACAGAAAGGACAGTACCTAGACTGCGTACCCTGAGTGCGTGAGTACTTTGTAGCGCGCTTAGAGAATGGCGGATGCGTTTGAATGCTGGAGGCTGGGCCGCGACGAAGGTGCGTCTACACTAACTCTTTGGGCTAGTGTTGGCAGGGTATCTTTAATCCGTAGACTGCAGCGATTGGCGGCAGAGGATTCGTAGATGGGATGAGACTGGTCAAAACTGGCGTGCGAAGTGGACGTTGGCTTCGGCTCTGGCGTGCGTTATCCCATGCACACGCAGCTTTTGGCGGGGGGCGGATGTGCCGTGCAGATCTCCGGGCCAATGAAGGCACTGTGAGTGTGTGACGAGGGGCTATTCGTACAGACTATCCGTACGGGAACGACCTCTTGCGCTGGTCGCAGGATGGAAGAGTGCGACTCGTGGGTTTCTGGCTGGCAAAGGATCCTGTGTGGGCTTCGGCACAGATGAGACAAAGAGGCAGTTACGGGTACTTTGTAGAAAGATGTCAGGACTCGATGATGGTCAGTGACTCGTTTGGGGTATGCTGTATGAGTCGTCGTCGAAAACAGCTTGTACAGATAGAGTGCACTCAAAGACAATGCTCATGTGTCGTCGTGTTTCCGTGTTCGTGGTGTTCTGTCCAAGTTCAAGAAGTTGCCGTCTTGTTCTCGGCAGCAGAGGCCAATGGAAGCCAGGCGCGCGCACCTCAGTGCGACCAAAGGAAGATGGAAGGGGCCTGCCTGCCTGCTTGGTTGATTCCTTCCTTGAGCACACAGCATCCTAAAGGTACGTCCTCGCAACCATTACATCGGCTTACTCAGCTGGGGGAGATCTCGAAATACGAACATCGTACAGATATCGGGTAAGGTACTCTCAGGACGCTCTGTTGCAATTAACTCCAACTCCCAAGGTCAGCTAAACCCAATTCCAGCCTCATCTCAAGATTCAAAAGTAAGACACACCCACTCCGCGAGAAAGCAGCTAGACCCAGATCAATGAACCAACCCGCGACCCGACGCAGGGCCCCGTCTGTTTCATTTGGGCCTTCCCAGGTTTGCATGAGGGGCCGGGTAGCGGGTGCCCACCTTGCGCTACCTTATTAACCTGCCGCTCTAACACGAACATTTCATTTCATTATGGCCCCCCTTTGGTCGATATTTTCAAATTGAATGAGGTATTATCACTCGGTTGTTGATATCGATGGAGATGAAGAGTCAATTACAAGTCATAAAGTACCTTAAGGAGCTTGCGATTCAGATGCACAACTATTCTATGCAGCATACATAAGGACAAGTGCTCATCGACGGTTTCATCGAAAAGGCAGCGTGTTGGGAGCATCAGTGAATGCTCTTAAAGCAGCAACGCACACAAGCGCACCTCCAAACCTCGTCGCCGCCAGACCGACGAACCGGTGAGCCGCGATTCTCGCAAAATGCAGCCAACCGCCCACATCGCTCTCGACGTCTCATTCGCCAGAATCCGACAAGCGCCAGCTAAATGTCTCCGGCTCTCCCCTCCAGGGTAGCGTCTGCTGTCCTTTGTCGACCTTCTGAGTGAGAAACAGAATCAAGGCCCGAAGTTCTTTCGGGTTTCAACCGTGCCAAATTCGAAGTTACCCGTGCCGCATTGTGGTCCACCCCAGACCCGGCCGCCGGCCTTAGTCCCCGCCCCCGGTCCCGCAGGACCTCTTTACCTTGTAGCATTTTCAGCCTCAAGTCCTCATCCGTGGTCTTCACTCAACCTTCGCTGTTGGAAAGAACGTGAGGGCATTCCGTACTGGAAATATCTACGTCTAGCTCATAATCTCTCCTCATACACTGTATCTAACACTACCTCGCAGCCAGGGCTATACATTGGGCTAATAGTAAAGTCGCCCAACATAGCTCATCCCTCCCTCTTAAGGCCCAAACACCCCCCTATTGCATATCAACCACATATAGAAAACACATTTAAAGCATCTGCTGTTAACACCCCCTTCCCGGCAACAGTTCGTTCATCGCCGGCCAAACAGCCCGGCTGGCCCACGTCATCCCCCACCACTGAAACCAAATATCCACAACCATCCAAGTGATCGATGATGAACATGCGTGATGCGATCAAAATAAACTGCTTCAATGATAGGACTCGCCCGGTCACTGAAGCCACCCATAGCCATCTCAACGCCCAATTCATCCATCAACATCCACAGATTTCCCCGGGCAATGTCCTTAAGAAGTGTGCTATACAAGCATCGCGGCGTAATAAGCCTTTTCACACCCCCCCCCCCCTTTAATTTGTTTCTATAAGACACCTATGAGAAGCAGGTTTCAAGAGGAAATACATTTCAGGTTCCATGTCATCTTCTGTGAACCCTGCCTTGGTCGACAATGTTGCTTTAGGAAAGCTAAGAAAGAAATGGGTCGCGGCGAGGCGCAACTCCATTCGCGCGAGGTGAACCCCCAAGCACACTGGAGAAGGTTAGGTACTGTGACCGATCCTGCGATTCGTCCGCACTATGATGTATACGTACCACGGCTACCCCCGCCAAAAGTGAGGACTGACTCCTTCATCGCCTTGGTCGCATGTTCCCATCGTCCAGGGTCGAACTTGAGCGGATTCGGGAATGCTTTAGGGTCCCGGTGCAAACTCCATGCTTGGGTACTCACGACCGTATCGGCTGGGAGATAATAACCGCCGAGTTCCGCGCCGCCGGACGGGACGAGCCGGGGTAAACCAGCCGGTGCCGCCGGGTAAAGGCGCAGGGTCTCTTCAATGACGTAGCCAAGATATTCGAGGCCTTTGACTTGCTCGTAATTGAAGTTTGGTGGCAGGCCACGCAGTTCTGCTACGAGGATATCCCTCACGTCTGGGTGGCGACAAAGCAACCAAACTAAGTAAGTCAATGAATTTGCCTTTTCGATACGTTAGCGGTTTGGCAGTCATCGGAATCTTGGCGTATGGCACTTGCTGTAGTGTCTGAGCCCGCAACAATGTATCCCACAGCGTTGTCGCGCACTTCGATGAAGCTCAGGTTCCCTCCGTCTACTTGGTCGTAGAGTTTGGAGAAAAGTGTGTTGCTCGTCTTTTCGTTTGCATTTTCGGCCAACTTCTGGTGACGCTTGATGGACTGGTCTGCATAAGCAATGAGTCTCTCTTGGTTGGCAACAGCTTCGCTGATCACCGGAATTTTCACGAATTTCGAAATTGGCAGCAAGAAAGGGAAGGTGACCCGTACTCCCCCGGCCTGGGCCACACTCTGCATGTCTTTGATATATTGGTTCTCCTGAGAGGGGTTAGTCAGCCCGATTACCTCGGAGCCTCACAACCTACCTCTCCAGTCTCCAACATTCGGAAAGATTCACCGAAGCTGAGCTCGCCGATGATGTCGGTGGCCATTGAAAGGAACCAGTGATACACGTCCTTTTTGAAGCTCGTTAGTTCATTCCTCGACAGGATCAAAGATGTGCTCACAGTGTAGTCATTCCTCTCCATTTCTTCTCGCATGCGATTCAGTGCTAATCGAATCTTTGATTCAACTACGGGTACGTGTTTCTGAAGCCCAGATTCGGCCATTTCGGATGACAGGAGACGTCGCTGGCGTTTGTGAATGTCAAGATTCCGAGTGGTAAAAACATTGACCACTCCTGTGATCAGTTTATCATAGAGATCCGCCTTCAAGTACTCGCCTTTGATGCGGTGTATAATTTGGGCGGCGGCTGGGTCTTGGAAACTCGCCTCCCTCGGACCCAAACGAACAGCGCGGCCTGTCAGCCTTTAGCATTCACAGGAAAGGAGCGGATAATGCCTCGTGGTGACGAACCGTATTGTACGTGCATTTGATGGATCCAATGTGGGCCTCGTCCTCTGGCAACTTCATATCGTAATCGGAGGTCTGAGAAGATCGTATGCCAAGGTCCGGGCACATTGGTTATTGGGCTCATCAACAAAGCCAACAGCTTCTGGCTGATTTAAGCGACTTCTTCCCGTCAAAATGAGTAAAATTGATGAACAAACTTACCCACGCAACGACAACGCCGATGGCTATCACCAAGGCAATTGCGGCTTTTGGCGAATAGAAGTCCATGACTCAAACTTCAATTTTTCGTGTTAGTGATTGTTGATGGGATTTTGGTATAGAAGGACTGTTCATTTCTTCTCGCTAGACGGCGAGGGATATATAATATGCATCTGAATCACGATGGCGATGAATGACGTGCCAAGCTTGGTGGTGAGTCTCAAATGCAGTTGGACCTCTATCTTAGGCAGTAGCCGGGCGAATTCCGGACATCTTCGGCGCACCGAATGCCGCGAACACAACCCGCTGAGTTGGCCGGGACCGTGCTGCTATGCCGGCAGCCCTAGTTTCTGGGGTGGCTTTGGAACCGGAATTCCCGGCGAGCAAAAATGACGGGGAGGATATGGAGAACATCGTCCAGAAGCCACGGTCAAGGGATGTGGCTCTGGTAAGGTTTAACGTAAGGGCTTTCACCCCGTCAACGTACACGCGATAGGCGTACTTCTATGGCTAGTTTCTTGGCCATACAGTACCGCGAGAGGTTCCCAGGCCGATCACGATTTCTTTACCCTATTGCCATCCCAGGGCAGGGTCCATCCTCGAAGAGCAACATGAAACGACACGTAGTTTGAAGCCATTGATTTATGACCTGAAAATGATTCGCTCAGGAAGCCCGAGCTTGATGAATGCCATTTACAGTCCGACCAATAATTTGTCGATACAGTTGTAGCTAAGGCTGGGTGGTTCACGAGTCAATGGAGAAAATTCTTGTGACCGAAATCCACTAGAGACAGAACTCTGACGTGTAAGTGTGTTGACGGGGGTGGGACATCTAGGTAGATGCGGATGTGAAAGAAAAAAAAAACCCTTCACATCGCGAAGTTCGAACAGCCCAACTCCAGGCTGATTGTAAGACCTATGCCCGACGAGGACAAAGGAGTAGTCATGACTTCAATTTCCGTACTGGTCTAAAACCTGTCTCAAGAGAGGGTACATAATTCGACCTTGTTCAAGCGCATTTTAGTATAGCTAAGAGCGATCTGCTGGGTCCGTTTATCACATTTATCACCATCGAGGTATACTAGAAGCCCGAGACTGAGCTGGAAATCACATTCAAGCTAGTTATGGCGGACTCTGCGTCAGTCCAGATCATTACTTGGCTAAAGATGCATGTGCTAACGGGTATCAAGTCGCCCATTGTGGCCGGCACCTGTGGGATCAATTCTGTTATGTTCTGTTTGTTAATCACCTCCTCTGCCTCGTTCTCCTCATCTGCCTCGTATAAATTACGTCGAGCTCTCCGTATGCATACTTGCATCAGTATTCTGTATGATGCTCGAGGCCTGAGTACAGAGACGAAGTGACGTAGGGAGACCGAGTACCCCATTTCTCTCTCCCAGACGCATACCATCTCATTAATTATAAGCCTCCGTGATAAATGACTTTTGTTTTACTCTACTAGGGAAAGTCTGATCCCCAAGGTCACGGTGTTGGATGTCTTTGAACTGACCTATTCTAAAATGGAGTCGCTAGACGTTTACCGCAGATTAGCGTTGCGCCATTAATAGCCCAGAGAACTTCCTTCTCAAACAGCTAAAGACGCTTGACTCATTCCACAAAGCTATTTGGGCGAATCTCGAAAAGCATGCTAATCAGACGATTGATTAAGCCAGGTTCATTAGATCGGGGGTTCCGTCCTGGACCGTGATAGGTTTGGCCGACCAGATTCGGAGGAATATAGGATTCGGACTATTTGGAAATGCCGGCAATTGCTAGAGCTCCTCTGAGCCATCCTAAAGTTTGGTCCCATTTCCGTGGAAGGGATCTAATCTGACAAAGCGAGCGACGCAAACAAAATCGTGGCCGGACTCAATATAAAAGCCAGCTGCATCACCATCATTCTTATGATACAAATTCCCCCCAATATCAAACTGGCACTACATTTGAGTGCATCAAATCCACTCGGTATGCTCGTTTTCGTCACGGGTGCTTCAGGCTTGTAGGTGGCCACACCTAAACCTTACGTACTATACAGCCATATCTAACGGATACAAAACTCAGCATCGGGCGAAAGATTGTTGAGGACTTGCTAAGTCATGGACATGGAGTCATTGCTCTAGTCACAAGCGATGCTTCGGCCGAACAATTCAAGGCGCTAAGAATTACAACGCTGGTCGGGGGCCTAGAAGATTCAGCGGTTCTCCGACAAGGCGCACAGCTCGCCGATGGCGTTTTACACTTCGCATTCATCCATGACTTCTCTGATTTCTCGCGAGGATGCCAAGTCGACCGAGAAGCCATAGAAGCAATGTCTGAAGTGATGGCTGGCACGCAGAAGCCTCTGGTCATCGCATCTGGAACTCTGATAGCACGCCATCCTACCATGGCCAGCGAAGACACGCCGTACACCCGAGACATGTTAGCCATGTCCGAGCGTGCCACTTCTTCTGACCTACTCTTCAAACTGAGCAAGGAAAAGGCGATCCGCGGAATGGTCATTCGCGTACCTCCGATACACGGCATCGGAGATACCGGAATGCTGGCTGGCATTGTCAACGCCGTGCGGTCTTCTGGCAAGGCACTTTACGTTGGCAGTGGACAGGCGCGTTGGCCATCCGCACACCGCGACGATGTGGCAGTGTTAGCCCGCCTCGTTCTAGAATCCGGAAAAGCTGGATCTACTTATAATGCCGTTTCCGAGTCAGGCGTGGCGTGGGTAAACATTATGGCTGTGATTGGCAAAGGACTGGGCTTGTCGCCGATGAGCGGAAGCCCATTAGAGGTTAAGGAGGCTCTGGGTTTCTTTGCTGATGTGATGTCGCTCGATAATCCAACGTCTGCGGCAATGACTATGAAGGAGCTCGGCTGGGTACCTACTGGGCCGGAATTACTTGACGACTTAAGAGCAAACTACTTTTGATATTGGACGTAGTAAATATTGGAAAAGAGAATATTGCATTGAACCCAATCGGGGCCAGAGCAGTAGTTGAGTCGGTAACGATCAGCGAATACCTAGTGTTGTGTGTAATTGTCCTTTTCTATTCAATTTTTTTTTTTTTTTTTTTTTTGGACAGTTTATATTTATGAGGTCCATCTCTCTCCCGCATTCGAAACCAAACTTTATTCAATCCTCTTCCCACCCAGGTGTTAAGGTGTTGGGTGCCATGTCGCATCCGTGCCACCAGGACCCGAGACGGGAGCGCATGAACCAAAACGCACGTCAGGGCTGCATCAGAGGAGCGAGCATGAGACAAGTTCACTAGTGAATCACCAAGGGCGAGAAAAGTTTAAATGTAGAAGAAGGGGACAAAAACTGCCCTTTACTATTCCGAATAAAAAAAATGAGGTCGGTTACGTGGTCAAATCACCTAAGCGCAGAACTTAGTTCATAATCGACATGCGTGTCATCGGAGACTAATGTACCTCATCTTACTAAGGTGTTGTTGAAACATCGGATGGATTTACAGGGTCTCTCGGTTTTTCTTAGGTGCTCGCTGGATCCGAGTTAATGAAGAGGTGACTGAGAACACGGCCTATGCAGCATAATGTTCAAAACTCACGAACAACGATGATTCGCCGCCATAGACCAAAAAAAAAAAAAAGGTGCTCTCCATTAACTCCCTAATAGCCAGAGGTGCATGTGCCTTGAGAGCCGCCAAAAATCCTTTGCCCTCTTCATTGCTCTAAATGTAAGAAAAACATGCTTGCAATAATCACCTCTTGACCATCACATCATGGGCGAGCCGTGTCGGGGACCCTATTCGTATCTCTGGATAACCTCCATCCCATCCTGTCCATAACGTTTCTACATCACGCTGCACCTCGCGTAATTCTGCTGGCACTGCTCCAGGTATCCCATGTCCTCCTCGGACCCTTCGACAATATTATGCTGCCTCACCAAGCCCGTAACCTTGAGCATCTGCTCCCCGTCCGCGTGCCACCACTTGAGCTTCTGCACCAGCGGGCCCTCGTCGTCGTCCATGCTAATCGCCCACTTGCCCGACGACACCTCGACCGTGCAGTTATCCTGCGGGTAGTGGAACTCGGGCAAGAACACCACCGTCGGCGCCGTCTCGGACGGCGGCGCGGCAGCCTTGAGCTTGAGCGTGAAGGTGCAGCTGCGCAGGTCGAAGCCGTACTCTAACACGTCGCCCGCCACGACGACGGGGGTCGGCCGCACAAAGGCCTCGGCGGCGCGGAGCCCCGGCGCGTTGGTCAGCTCCGGGTCCTTGGAGGGGGCTGATGATATGGACGGGTTCGTGATTGTGCTTTGCAGGTTTTCGGGCGTGACGGTCGATTCATCTGGGACGTCTCTGCTCATGGAGTTGCGCTTGAGGTCTGACGACGGGTTGGGTGATGGGCTGCGGGGGAGAGGCGACATGGGTAGTGTCTTGTCGTCTAGTGAGAAGACTGACAGATCCTCGCCGTTCCAAAGATCACCGTGCTCATGAGTGTTCTTCAGCGTATGTTAGCTAGGGTAACATCGCGCATGGGGGAAACTGCTTACCTTTGCAACGTAAACCCACAAACAATGGCCTTCCATACCCGAGCCTTCGGCACCAAAGTAGTTGGCATCCAAGGCAGCTGACTGATCCGAGTAATCTCCCGTCTTATATGCCTTCTTGTTGCCCATATCGTATGGAATACCGAATTCTGTCATAACGCACGGGTGGTTGCCCATTCTATCCAAACCTTCTTGCCGCAATGAAGCAAGCTGGTCTTTGAAGCAGTTTCGAATAGCAGTTTCACCGACCTTGACAGAAAGCGCCTCGTGCCAGTATCGCCCACGCAACACGCCTACAACGTCCACGTTCCACACTCTGTTCCATCGTTTCGTCATGAGAGTAATACCATCGTACCAATGCGGTGAAAAGGCCATCATCGGATCGTCGTCGGCGGTGCCTTTAATCTGAGGTGGTAGCTCGAGTGTCGGGTATTGCATCAGCATAATGCAGTTCTTGTGGATGGGGCGAATAGCGTCTCTGTATAGCCGGTATGAGTCCATAAAATACGTATTAGTAAACTCCGGGTGGTCGATTGTCTTCCCGGTCCTGGGGTTCTTGGAGAAGTAGTCCTTTTTTACCAGGGTATCCGTCTTGGGGTCCCAAATACCATGCTGGGCCCAGATGCACTCTCCAAGCTTCCAACCCTCGTCTCGCTTCCAGCCGTATCTCGAGTCGTCGTAGTCGGTAGGCAGCCAAGCCATCTCGCCGTGGGGGTCAATCAGCGAACGGCCGACCTTGTATGGGCCCATGCCACCCATGTCCCACGTTTCCACCTCGCAGGCGCGACCAGACCCCGTGAGGAGCGTCTGCCAGATCGTCGGGCACGAGCCCTTCTTCAGCTTCTGCGCGTTGGGGATGACGGCGATATCCTGGTAGCCGACCAGACCGCAGCCCGGCTCGTTCATGCTCTCCCACCCGATGACGACCTCGTTCTCGAGGTCGCCGGCCTCGTGTATGCGCTTCGCGAGGTGCGCGCATGCGGCGACGAAGTGGCCCTGCAAAAAGTCCTGGATGTTGATGCCGTTGATGATGCACTTTGGCGCAAAATCCCTGCCACCAAAGTACATGGTGAAGATCGTCGCGGCTGCGAGGCGCCAGTAGTTTGTCGACCAGATCATCTTGGGGAAGTCTTCAGGCTTCGGGTATGTGTTGTGCACGATCGCGGCCTCGGTGGCGGAGAAGCTCTGCGGGTTGAGGCCGCAGGCGTAGATAGTCCACATGGGGGCGCCAGAACCACCACAGTATCTTGACCACTGTAGGATTTGTTAGCTTTAGAAGCCACATGATGGGGAACAGAACAGTCGAACATACCACATCCTGGTGGGGGTCCATGAAGATGTAGAACCCATATTCTTTGGCTATTCTCAGGATCTCAATCGTGTGCTGGATCCATTCCTCATCGTAACGTCCTGGCCCGGCGGCTTCGATGGCCTCCCAGGTGAAGACGTAGCGAATGGTGTTGTATCCGTAGCGCTTTATCCTCGAGAAATGTACGTGGGCCTCGTCCTTGGGGAAAGGACGGTTGTGGAACTTGACATTGTCGCCATCGAAGAAGTCGTCACCAATGTGCGAGGGCTGGTCGGGCTCACTGGGGAGCTTGGCGTCGGCGGCGACGTTGAGGCCTCGAAGCACGACCTGTCTACCGTAGCCGTCGCGAAACTGGCCGTCTTCGATAGTCAATCGAAATGCGGACATGGCGAGGGCTTGTGTTGTCGAAGTCTGGTTGTGCTCTTCGTTCACTGTTCCGCCAAGATGCAATGACGATGTCTTGGAGCTTAGAGGGGGAAGAGAAAGGTTCGCCTCTGTGGTTTCGAGATAGGAGAACACCAAGGCATAACGCAGCGACCGACGACGGCGGACTGAACGGGTCACCAAAGGTCCGAGATTGGAATAATTGGGACGGTTCGATGACGTCCTGACGGGGTGCCCTGATTAGCGGGATGCGCAATGTCAGTCAACGGGTGGAGGTACCTTATCGGGCCCAGCGTACGGCTTTAGCGACCGCCAAGCGCTAAATCCTTCGGAGGCCTTTACCTTAAGCGAGTGCAAATGGCCTCCCCCTGCCAAGCAGTCATTAAGGTACTTTGACCTTGAACAATGGAACTGTTTTGTTTCCGTGGCTACGGGTTGAGTTGAAGAACAAAGCAAGCAACCTACCCAAGGTAAGGTTGGTCAAAGGATAGGAGAAGGAGAAAACGCGCAATAGGCTCGACAACCAAGGGAAACAGACCATCCTGGACTTTTAAAGAAAGACACATGGAATCGTCACGCCCGCCATAGCGCAGCGCAGCGCCGCAGCCTTGATCCAAACGCCCTGCATAGTCCCGGACAATGCAGCGCAAGGTGGGAAAAAGCGTCTGCGTGACTGCACCTGCCACCCTCGCTCGTTTTCGTGTTCCACCTGTGACCCCCGAAGCCAATGGGAGCCCTTCCCTATGGACTCTAGCGGGGTCAGGCGGAGGGGCCGCGGTATCGGTTCTCGCTTGAACTCCGGGCTGACGCCGCCAAATGGTCGGGGAATCGACGGGATGGAGGTGGGTCTAGCCGGCCCGCTGGCTCCGGAGTAAGCTCCAGCTCCTTCCCTGAGCAGCTCTCACTTCCACAGGTACACGGACACGCACCTACCATAATGTACCATGAGGTACCTGACAACAACGAATTCTGGGTGCACCACACCTCCAGTGAACTTTTCAAATCCATCTGGTATAACAATTCGGCCTGAAGTTGAACGATTCTAACATTCCTATTGTTGTCCCAAAGCCAAGTATCATTGCCACCAAATAATTCCAACAACCCTTGACTCGTATACGCGTAAAGCCAACGAGGATTTGCGGGCCAGTTTCAAGCCAAAAGAGCTAATAAGAAAACCACCTATTCGCTTTCTCGCTTTCGTAAACTCAGCCACAACGCTGTTGCAATCCCCAGAATTCATCATCCATTCATACAACCAAGTCCCTAACCTAACCTACCTTGTCTACGCGTGAGTGCTGTCCCTGTCCGACTCGGAACTATCTCTCCTCCCGTCCATCCGTCCCGCATCCCTCACCCGTGTCCGCTCCTCTTCGTCGCCTCCGGACCCCCATATCAGATCAATGTACAGACTCGGCTTGTACTCGTGCTTCCGCAGGACATAACGCCTAAAGAACCACGGCAAGTATTCGACAACCTGGTGCTTGACGAACTGCCGCTTCGACACAGCAAACACAAGGTCCAGGTCTTCCAGGCTGCGCCTCTTGGTCTCCTCTAGTAGCAGGAAAACCATGATCAGGGCAAGTACATTCAGCCCCGCAAAGAGGTACAGCGAGCCGCCGTCTCCCAGCCCGGAATTGATACGCGGGAAGAAGACGGAGAGCAGACCGGCGAAGCCCAGGTTCACTGCGATGGCGACTGCGGCCCCGGCTTCACGATGCGATAGTGGGAAGCTCTCTGACGCGTAGGTGAACGGGATGGGTCCCAGACCGGGCGAGTACGCGGCCGCGAACAGGAGGATGAACAGCGCCACCACCGGGACCTTGGCACCCAGATTGTGGATATTGAAGGAGACGCCCGCGAGGAGCATGAAGAGTGCCATTACGGGTAGAGTCAAAATCAGCCATTTCCGTCTGCCCAACGTATCGATCGTTCGGATGGCGGGTAGACCAAAGATGAAGTTGACGGCTCCATAGCCTAAACTGAAGAACATGGCATCTCGCTTCTCCGCACCGGCGCGGCTGAAGAGCGTTCCCGAGTAGAAGGCCAGCACATTGATTCCTGTTCCGTCAAGTCAGCGCGGCTCTCGTCTACACCTAAACACACTTGGAGGGGGAGGGGGTGGGGGTTCCAGCTTACCACACAATTGCTGGGCAAGCGCCACAGTCGAGCTACTAATCAACGCGTTCCTCAACCGCCTCTCAAGAAACAGCTGCCTCCATTGTCGCAGGAATCCTACAACGGTCGATACAAACCCCGGTATGTACTTGAGGTTCGCGACCCCGCCCGGCACTTCTTCCTGCTCGATGGACTTGTGCACGAGGTAGATGTCCCGGAGAGCCTGCAGCTCGGTGTTCCTCAGCTTCTTGAGGATCTCGTAGGCCCGCTGTGGATCGTACCGCGGACTCGACACGCGCATCAGGTACCGCGGGCTCTCTTCGCAGAAACAAATGACCAGGACGAGCAGCGCGAGAGCGGGAACCATGGGCGCGCCCACCATGAGTTGGAAGGTCAGCCGCTTGTTGCTCGCCGTGTCGAATATGAGGTTGAAGGCGAAGCCGACCATCAGGCCCGCGGCTACCCACAGCTGCCATGCGAGAATGGAGGTCCCACGCCAGAAACCGACCGCAGTTTCACTGGCTAGGATAGGAGTACTGACAGCCTTGAGACCCATACCTGATCCCTTCCATTAGCATCGTGATATCTTTGAAAACGAGGGTGTATACACTGACCTATCCCATTCACCAGCCGAATGCCAAAAAGATGTACCCAGTTCGTCGCAAAGGCCGATGCCAGAGAGCTGGCCAGGATAAGAAAAGCAGCCACCACCATGCCCCCTTTACGGCCGAGATAATGGTTCACCGGCAGCGCAAGAGGGCAGCCCAGCACCGCAGCGAACAAGAAAGGAGACGCGTTCGCGGCTCCCAACTTCCAGTCATCAATTCCCAATTCAGCGTGGCTTCCCGTCACGCTGTTGTTATCTTTCTTGGCCGTTGTGTTCAGTCCAAATTCTGTGTCATATAGAGACGAGCCGTTGAATGACGCTTGCACGTGGCCTAGGATGCTTGTTAAGCCCATGAACTGATATCGAGCCAAAGAAAAGAAGATGACTCGCCTACCTTGTAAGAATGCTGCGAGGGACACCGTGATGATGATGGTCCACATCCCCTTTTCGCTGAATGGGACATCGCGTTCCCGAACAAGTGCCCGTTTTTCCTCTGGTGTTAGTTGAACCGGAAGCTCCTTTCCTGCCGCATCGCTTGGGTTCCTCGCAACTTCGTCGTATAGCTTGATATCTTTTGCCACACGCGCAGCTCGTATCAAAGCTCCCTTGTCGACATTCAGATACCTCTCTGCGAATGACGTGACATCTGCCTCTAGCTGTTCATCGGTATAATGAGCTAGAGAAGAGAATTAGGTCAGCAAGAGGGACAGTCTCTTGAAGGGAAGGGGCTTTTGTGTAGTATAGTCCAATGTCTGGAATTCATGTAGATGAAGCTTACACAGAGGGTTTTCGATTACTGCCCGGTCGTTGATATGTCGGTGACGAGCTTGTTGTTTTGTCACGCCGTCACGACCAGACTGAGACTCGGCCTGGCCGAGAGTATCGATATCAGACATGCCGTTGTCAATATGATCGTTCTGAGAGATTATGGACTTAATTGGCACTCATCAGCAATACCACGATAGGTAGCATCACGAGTAGCCAGTATAGGGCTGAGATCGGTCGCGAGCCAGGCCTATCCCGGGTATTAAGTGAACGGAAGCCAGGCCGCTCAGTCATATAAGGCACCGTCATTGTGGTTATGCGAGCACGAAACGGCACGAACTATAGGTAGCCCAAGAAGTGAGACCTCATGACCCCCAATAGGATCGAGTGACGGCGTCCCGCGTCCCGCGTCCCACTGAGACTTTGTCTCGCAGGCTTTCCTCGGCTGGCGTTGTACAATCAGATGGCAGCCCATGCACAGGTCCGTCATTTCCATCCTTCGAGCCAGCGATCGTCGTCCCGTTTACTTGTCTACTCGTATATACCAGATGCGGAATAGAGGGAAGCGAGGGGGTATCTGGGCCCCTCATGTAGGGCTGTGAGTGTGGAGGCGAAGCCAATCCTTTCTACCTCCCTGCCATCCACCATCTCATCAGGCAATGGGAGGAGCCTTGAGCGACAGATTCCATATTGACCGCAGTTTTGCTCTTGGGCCACCTGGACACGTGCTAAACTATCGAAGTATCGGGTGTTGCATTGGCCATCGAGACGAACCGTCGGGATTTCAATGTGTTATTCCGGAAGTCGTCAAGTCCTAGAGAAGCCTCATCTCGGGCACTCACACCTAATCTCACCCGCAGACGCTGAGGTTCTTGTACTCGAATCCCGAATACGGGAGGAATCTGCAGATGTACGGCAACAGGCAGCACTTGGACTGTGGCTTTGCCCAAGCCAATAGATGCCCACGACGGGAGTTTGGGGCTGCAAGGTGCAGATCGCCTAGCCATCCTGCTGTCATCACCATGTCTTGCTTATGAACAATATGCATGTTGTTCATCGCCTGCTATCCTGCTGCGCCACAGACTTGGTATACAAAGTCAGGGTGAAGCTTGGCAACCGGGGTTCAAGTGGAATAAGGCTACTGCATCAGCTCCCGCGCTACGGAGTAGACCCCGGTCCTGCGAGGTTCCCCGCGGGGGCCCGGTGTACAGAGTCGCTGCTACCTATCCAAGTGGGCAGAAACAAGCTCCAACGCCAGGTCGATTGCGGAGTGAGATCGTTTGCTTGAGAGTGAGACCAATGTCATCCAAGGAGGACCTACTCACTGAGGAGCCCGCTGTGCAAGGCCAGCTGAACTCTGCGTTACACCGACTGCGGCAGCAGCCTGCCCTGCGCTCGTGATGTGACCCTTCGTGGCTATGCCCCCCAGATTAACGGCAGCGACTGTTGTCTCGGCGAGTAAGACTCATCTGGGGGGTAACATTTGTCGATCGCGGGGAACACAGGCCTACTTACCTCATCGATGGATGGAAGAGGGTGTTCACTGCCTGCCCTCCACTGCTCGCCCTCTACTTTGTCTTTTTTTCACCAAGGTGCTTATCGACTTTGCACACCGAGTCCATCCGCGACTCTCTAACATGTTCATCATTCGACGCCCGAGGACCATTTGTATTGATTACCGCGAAGTCAATGGACGCGGCTGCCGTTCAGGCGACTGAGAAGAACCAGAGATTCGACTAACAGCGCTGCGAAAGAACTCGGATCGAGATGGATCCTCTTTCGATTGCCGCATTTGCTCTGCAAATGGTCGGGATAGCCGGCAAGATCGTAGAAGGCACCGGCAAGTTTGTCCAAGAAAGCAAAGCCATTTCTTCGAGCATATGCGAATTCCACGAGACCATTCGGAACCTACACGCTGCGCTGCGCAACGTGGCTCGAATCCTAAAGCAGCACCCGCACCAGCTTTCCTTTGAGAGAGAGCACCACCAGGATATTTACCAAATTCTCAAGTCATGCCGCTCATCGCTTGATAGGCTGCAGAAAGAGCTGCCGGAGCTCGACGACAAACCGGGTCCGATTGATAAAGCTAGAGCGAGCTTTGCCATGACGTTGAAGTCGGTTGTCATTCGCGATCTGGTTTCGCACATAACGTCGTATACACAAGTGCTTCAACTCAGTCTGATAACCCTGTCTCTGTACGTGGCCCGCTTTCAAGCACAACCCTTTGGAGGATCAGATGACTGACTGTAGAAGCGGCTCATTATGGACTCAACAAAAATCTCAAGACCAGGTACATGTTGCAATCAGAAACTTGACCGACGAAATTCGAGCCGCGAACCTCATCTCACGTACGGGCAAAGCTCAACGACGACCATCCACTGAATGGGACGACGAAAGTGGCACAAGGTTGGATGAATCTCTTTCTGTGACAAGAGAGATCCAAGCCTGGCGAATGTCGGCCGACGAAGTAGCAGCCGCAGTCACTTTACAAAATGCAGACCAACACCACTCGTTCCTGTCATTTAACTCGTCGTACACCCAGTTGGCATCGGGAAAGGACCAGGACTCTAAACAAGCATCAGGTGATGTTGACTCGGACGACTGGGATCCAGAGCCCGAACATCCAGACGGACCGAGCAAAGACATTCTCAGCCACCAGTACGATGCGAACCAAGAAATAGTCGACCGCTTGGTGGACTGTGGCATATTCCTCCGGGCTTCACTATATCAGAAGCGGGGCATCGAAATCCGAGAACAACTCAGCCAGCCAGGGTACGATGTCGACTTCAGCTTTGCCGAGCAAGCTGTCATGAAAGAGCGGCTCGCCGATATCCTACTCAGAAGTGAAACAGAAGAAGAGATTGCTGAAGCGAAAGGGATTCTGCAGGATCTGCTCCAAGAGGAGGTGAAGCAGCCCGAAGAGCTCCGGGACGACGAACGACGAAGTCGGCTATACCACGACCTCGGGAGCCTGTACATCAGACTCGGCAATCTGAGGCAGGCAAAGATGTTCCTAAGCCGGGCTCTCGAAGGCCGAAAAAACCAAGGGCCCATTCCGGTTGAATTAGTGCAAGAGACAGCAGACTTGTACATCAAGGCCCTGCAACTCGACGGGGCATTTGATGAAGCACGCGGTGTAGAAGTCTGGGTCAACACCGTCATCATTCCATTGACAAGCCGTCCGGCGTCGCCGCCTGATTCAGACTCTGTACCAGACGCCAGGAGACCGTCCTCCATGGGCGAGCTTTCCCAAGCCTTTCAGTGGTGCCGCGAGAACGGATTCGACATTGATGTCCCGACCGGCTTCCGCTTCGATACGTGCGACTTCATGACACGAACCTCACCGCTTCATAAGGCCATCCAAGACGAGAACCTCGAGGTATTAAGGCAAATGGTGGGACACGTGGTCAGTCTCGAGAACGGAGGCAACGTCGGTCTACCAACGCCCTTGCTGCTTGCCGCATCGACCAGAAACCGTGACAGCGTCGGGTTGTTGTTGCAGACGGGCGCGCGGGCCGATGTTCGTGATAGTGCAGGGCTGAGTCCCCTGCACCGATGCCAGAACAAATCCGGCGGCGTCAACGTTGCCCGACTTCTCCTCAAGGACACGCCCAATCTTTTGGACCTCATCGACAATTCGGGAAAGACGGCGCTGTACATGGCCTGCGAGATGGGAAACGAGGCCATGGTTCGATTCTTGGTCGGCGAGGGAGCCGATCCCAATATTTGCCATCAGACGAAGAGAGCGCAGACGTCTTCTCCCTACTTGAGCAACAACAACGTGTGCACTCCCCTGATTGCCGCGATTCAGGTGGTGGCAACTAAGAGTTCCCGCAAAATTGGGATGATTGAAGTGCTCCTTTCCCACGGCGCGGATCCTCGCTTGACCGATGCCAACGGCAGAAACGCTTTTCAGGCGGCTTCCAACTGTGGACTGGCTGGGTCGGAGATCAAGCGACTGCTTCAGCAGTACTCGCAGACATCGACTCGAAAGTCTAGTGACGCATCCACATCGACCATCGTTACCAGGTCATCGACTTCGAGCGACCACGTGTCTCATGGATCGGGCCGGAGGAACACTCTTATGCGATTTTGGAGCAAGTCCGAGTCTTCTCATTCAGGTGTTGGCTCGGTTCCGGAGAGGGAGTAGTCGCGTGTGTCTGATGTAGTAGCTGCTGTGTTGGAGCTCTTGTTTTGGATGTGTTCTTGTCTAGATACCCTTGCTTTGAAGACATATGTGTGAAATTTTCATGGCGACTCGATTGTAGATTCCGAAATTGTGAAGCGACTGATGCGAAGGAGAAGACATTGAGGCTAACTGCGTGTGACTACGTAACTTGAGCTGGATGCAGACCCCTAATATACTCAATCTCGTGAGTGTATGAGATCGAGCTTTGAAACGTACTCGCCGTTGCTCTCCATACTTGACATGAATCGGCAGTTTGCGTCTCGTAAGCCCATATTGGCATGAGGTTGATGGTTTATATATGGGGTATGATCAGGGCTTCTCTTTCTCCTGACGTTGTCATGCCATGTTGGTGTTGTCCTGGTGACAGCGTGTGGGTTGCTCTATATACACATGGTCTGAGTTCTTCCTACTTGCTTGATCAATCACATGGATATAACCGAGCGTATCATCCATCCCCAAGTTCTAAGCGGCCTCCATCCATTCATGGTTCCCATCCAGGTGAGCGAAGGAAATTTTGGCGAAGAACGCCGACACAGTGAAGAAGGAGAGGCCGGGTGAAAATAGATGGAAGCTCACACCTTCCCATGGTCCCATGAGACGGAACAAGAAGGAGCGAAGACCCTCAAGGTATCTCACCCATCTTCCATCTGAATACATGAGAAGGGTATATACCCCCCTTCAATCCAATTCCTGTCACCAGCACAGCAGGCGCCCTCTAGGTCGGAGGTCAGGTCAAACTGTGGCGTGGGTGGTGGAATGGTTAATGGTCAACAATCAAACATCTACACCAACCAGCCTACTCGACGACAGGCTCAGCGCATACGAGAGTACCCGAGTTCGAATCCCAGCATTAGCACCAAGTTTCCCAGCATGAGCACCAAGAGATGTAGCCCCCAGTTCAGCACCGGGGGGGTGAACTCTTTTTAGTTCATGGTAGTGATGATTTAGATCGTTGCTGTGTATCGTTCTCTGCTATTAATATAGAAATCGTATATGGAACCTACGTAATGATTCTGCTAGAAATATCGTTTCAATGTTGCTCAAAGTGATTGTATGATGTGTATTTGTACGGATTCAGATATACACACATATCTGTACACACATTTAAGATATCTAGTAGTAAAACCACACCGTTGCCTGTAAATGGAAATCATGCTCCTTTCAACCTTCGCTCGGAAATGATCTGTGTTGGAGTCAACTAATTCAGTAGACAGACTACGACCTCCAGTGGTAAGCTGCCAATCAGTTGCTGAGGCTATGCATACTTCTTGCATGATTAGCCGCCCGACCTCATCTGACATGCAGCCAACGTCCGCCTATTTACACTTACTTGCTCACTTAAATTTTACAACAATCTCATGATTCTTAGAACCTCCATTCTCATTAAAACTTGGAATCTGCCGAGTATATTGAGGAGGAGCTACTACACTGTAACCGTCATGGCAGAATGGCATGACCCGTCATGCCGCCGCCTAGACGTCTTCACCAGCGACGGCATCTCCAGCTGCCTAAGCTGCGGCTCCGTCCAGCTCGACCTCGAAACACCCTCACCACCAAAAACAGACGACGAAAAAACAACAGACTCCGCCATCTACAAGCCCCTGGAGTCCCAAACAGACATTCGCCTCCTCACCCTGGAGCCAGGAGAATTCGCAGACCCCATCAGATGCACCCTCGCCCTGAGCAGCACCGCCAGCATGGTAGACTACGACGCAATCTCCTACACCTGGGCGAGCGAGGACGGCGCCATGGCCTGGACGCAGCCCATCACCCTCGACGGCCGCGTCTTTCTCGTCACGGCCAACTGCGAGACGGCGCTGCGGCGCGTCCGGAGCCGCGGCGCGCAGAGGGTCGTCTGGATCGACGCCGTCTGCATGAACCAGCAGGACGTTGAGGAGAGGGGCCACCAGGTGCGCCTAATGCCGCAGATCTACTCCCGCGCGCAGCGCGTCCTCGTCTACGTTGGGGAACCGGTGCCCGAGGAGGAGGCGCTCTTCCGCTTCTTGGATGACGATCCGGACACCACGACCCTGTGCCCGGACCCGAACTTGTCTCGGCGGCTGTCGCTCCAGCAAGCGTTGGAGACGCTGCTTACGCGGCGATACTTTTCGCGAGCATGGATCCTTCAGGAGGTGGCGCTGGCCAGGCGGGCGACGTTGATCTGCGGGAGGTATGAGATGCCCTGGTCACGGCTCCAGATCCCCTCACTGGCGGATCGGGGCTTGCTCATCAATACGAAAGAGAAGCCGCGGCTGCTGAATGTGCTGCAGTTGCCGTCCGTTTTGCAATTCCGGGCGCCGGCATACAGGGACTCGAGTGACCTGCTCCGGCTCCTGGACCTGGCGCGCAACAGCCATGCCTCAGATCCAAGGGACAAGCTGTTCGCCGTGTATGGGCTTATATCTTGCGCGCAAAGCGATGGAATTGTAGCCGATTATACGATGTCGACGAGGGAGGCGTATATGCAGATGGCCAAGTGGATTGCGCAGAGGTTTGGTATCCCGGCGTTGCTGCTCAGGTCGTTTCACGTTGACGAGGTCGACGATGAATTGGATGAGGTGGATGGAATGGGACAACAGGAGAATCCTGAGAAGTTCAGAATCCCCTCATGGACGCCAAATTGGACGCATAAGCCCTCATTGCGAGTGTTGCCATTGCTTACAGAGATGTATGACGAGACAGCAGCGGGATTTAGTCCAGTCGGCCTTCCGATCAGTCTTGAGATGGCTGCAGACTCCTTAGGATTTCCAGCTTTGAAGCTGGGAAAGCTCTGTGATGTCCTGAGCGAGTACGACGCTCATGCAAGAAGGGCAAGTCCTCCAGGATCAATCGTTGCAGCCAAGCCATGGCCATATACGGCATTCAACATGTCACATCAAGGGAAGAATAGGTCGTGTTACCAGAAGGCATTCGCTTTTTGGACACAAGACCCAACGAACTCTCAGCGACCTCAATTTCCCGAAGTTGAACAATTGTTCACGAAGCTTCCGGGCGAGGAGTTCACGGCTGACGTTGCGGGACGGAAAGAAGAGTACCAGGACCTTCACGTATATCTAGCTCCCCAGGCGGATGAACTCGATGGTTTTTCCTTCGAGGAGCCAGGTATTGTGTCGGTTTGTGTTGACAACTTATCATGCGTGTGGATTCACGATGGCCTCGAGAAACGGGTGACTGAAGGCCGGTTTAGCAAGTACGCGATCTGCGCTAGAGACCTGGGTCGTGGAGATATTCGCATCGCCGGGTTATTGCATATGGACGGGCTAATGGACGGTCTTGGCCACGAGGGCGTTTGGAAAAGTGGCCAATTCGAATATGTGAACCTCGTCGGCGAGGACCTTGGAGCTTTCCCAGCGCGAGGTAACAAGCCGAGGCGCAGCGCGTATTACTGGGAGCGTGAACAGGAACGCGAACGGTTAGCCCGAACTGGGGAACTTGAAGGCGTGGATGTGACAGCTGCCACAAATGGTCCCTAGGCAGGGCCCCTAGGTAGATGGAAGGATTCGTCGGGAATACCAAACAGACAGAATCCTTCGATGCCCTAGAAGTGAGGTTTAAAAAATATCATCGCCATTGTCGTTGGAATGAAACAATGTGACCCGGCGGAATTTATCGGAAGGTTCAACGCCGCCAATTCGCAAAAGGGAGTAGTTATTGTCGCCGTGATAGGTCGAATCGGGAAAGGAGCTTGGGCCAGTCGCAAAGAGCTCTGGACCGTCGCGGTGACGCCAACCGAAATGACGAATTGAAAATTTTTCCTCCTTTGTTGAACTGTTGAACGCCTTGACAGCCTCGCTCGGACTGTTGTGTGGTTTGGGGGTTGCAATGGCAAACGAGGTCGATGTAGTGATGCCTGGAAGATTATTCGACTCGGTATTGGATCAACTGCAAAAAGGGGCTCGCTCCAAGGGGTAAGCGAATAGTCCCAAGGAACTCGTATGCGCGTTGAGCTTCGTGTCTGCGTACGTTCCGAATGGCTGGTAGAGAAGCCTGGGTTTTGCGAAAGGAATGAAACGTCGTAGCGAGTCTAGCGAATGACTAGAAGCCTTCCAAATGCAACTCATTCCCGGCCGAAAATCGAATAGCCGTAGACGTTCCTTCGGGCGGATGTATTTCTTCGGGGTCGCCTGCAGTCGCCTGCACTTTCCTCCTTGTCGCGCTCGGTGGTTATTTCCGCGGTTGCTTTCAGTGTTGGTGCCTCAATCCAATCCCGGAAGGGGCCCCCGGGACTTGCAGCTGTGGCAGGTGTGTGTGCAACAGTGCAACCTCTTGGGCATGTGGCGTCTCAAGTCGATCCCGTTCCTGCCCGTTCATCGATTCTCGGCGCGCTGGGCGGCATCGGGTGTTTCGGTTGATGATGCAGCCACCGCGGAATAAGCATGGAAGCATGAGCCTAAGGCGACGACATGTCGCCGAACGGCACCTGCCTCTTACCTAAGATATCTTAGGCTGACAAGAGACATGGAAAGGGAAGGGAAGGAAATAGCCATGGCAGGAACCGCCGGCAAGGCAGGAAGGAGAGAAGGAAGAAAGGGCCCAGGCTTCTAGGACAATGAAAAGGAAGGAATGACAGCGTGAGTAACCCTAGCTGTTGCCCTCGGAAGGAAAGATACATAGGTAGGGTAAGAACCTACTCCATATACGTATCTGTACTTCAGGTTGCCTGAGGTGAAGAACCTCCAGACTCTCGTGAATCTGTCTCGTTATCGCACCATGACATCGTCAGCTTCCATCATCCATCATCCCGAATACCACCATTATTGAGCAATCAATTGACGCCACCTGGCCCAGTGGCTCAACAATCTTCCGCGTCTTATCAGTCGGCATCATCAAAGATGGTTGGTACAAGAGAACACCATTGCTTTTTGGTTGAGAGTTCCAATCTGGATACGATCGGAATGTCAGACTCGGACACATGATTCAGAAGCACAAGCTCTAGCTCAAGTTGCTCAACCGCTGGCTTCCAGGCCCTCGACGACGCCATTGGCATTGACGCAGAAGATACACACACCCTGACAGAGACATAGACAACAATGATGCGTCATTTTTGAGGCTCTGTAGCCTCAGGCATGCACCACAAGACAATGGCAGCGAAGCGGAATGGTGAGCGCCAACGGTGCGTTTCGGCGTTTCTTCTCCCTCAAAGCTTGCGCTTGCACTAGCAACAGCAGCTTGGCTGCGAGTAAAAATTTTCTCCCGGCGTCGGCCTCAACCCCAATGGGTTGGACGGAGGGCCGTAGGTACCTCACAGGCTCATCCTGGACGCCTCACGGGTGAAGATCAACCGTAAAAGGTACATGACCTCCGAGACATGGCGGACCCACGCATCATTTCGAGCGACCTGCGTATCGTGTACCGACAGCTGGGATTGACAAACGCTAGATTTACGTTTGACGCTGAATCAATCTCGCAGATACTCCTTTTGTGGATCCCGACATTACGGTTACGGCGCTGCGGTCGCACCCATCTCGGCCATCTCAGACACTGGAACCTCGGACGTCGGCTCAATGGAGCGAACCTGCCTCCCATTGGCAGACGAATCGCCACGTCCGTCGGCCATCGGTAGGGCCAAGCTGTCCAGCAAAAAGAACGCTGCAGCGTCCCTCGGAGCGCTGCCAGTGCAAGTGCACGCCAGCCAGGTTTCTGGGTGCTGCCGGGATCTCACGTAACACTCGTCTACTGGCAGTCGGGGGTGTAAGGTAGGAAAAGGGGGTGTGTGCAGTCAGACAGCAAGCGTCCCTGACAGGAAACTGGGCTGGCCAAGGCATGTGTGCGTGCTTCGATTGACTTCATCCCATCTTCGCTGATGGTTGGCGGCAGCATCGACTCGAACGAAAAACCGAAAAGTTTGATAAGGAGATGGGAAGAACAGTGAAAGAAAAAGGAACGAGGAATGATTGAGAAGTGAAGGGAGGGAGCACGACATGAAATGCAAATCGACGCAAACGACAAAACGGAAGGAGGCCTTGGACCAGCTCGCTATCTCTCCTTCAAACCATGATCCGTCTCACCGCGTCCCTTTTTATCTCTGGGACCAACGTTCCAACTCGGTCATCGTGTCCACTTTCTTTCTGGTGTTGTCGCTTTTTTTCTTGAGCTATTTTGTCGGGTCCACCCACGTGTGAGTGCAAGGCTGCGGCTGATTGGACCCGGGCGCCTCACAGTGGGGGCCTTTGACGGTATCGGGTGGGGGTCACCACAAGCCATGACCGGGCTGATATCAAAGCTGACATTTGGCGGCTTTTTCTCTCTCTTCTCTTTGCGCTGTGTGCCTGAGGGAATCTTTCTTTGAGAAAATTTTCTTTCGCCATGGGAATCCCATCCAGGCTCAGCCCGTGTGTTTCCGGCATCAACACCCTCTTATCTCGAAAGCTTCAGTGAGCTTGAGATGGTCAGTCTCCCTCAAGCCAAGGTGCTTGGAGCATGGACATTGCGTGCTCATGCCGTCTCAAAGACTGAGTTGGTAAACGCTGAACCTACATGTTGATTATCGATTAGCCGGCCGTAACGGACTCAACCTTGCGGATTCTCCTTAGCCTTGATACAGCAACCCACTTCTCATGATTCGTGTTCCTGGCCAAGGGGGCATATCCAGCAAGTACATCCGCCTCAGGCACGGTCAAAGGGCCCCAAGATCAACCATCTCTCAGACTCTCCCTCTCTCCGTTCAGGGATCCCCTTCGCCGTCCAGCCTCCCGACAATGCCCGAGATCGGTGCGAGGGCGTGTGTATTGGATCTCTTTGGTGGATGGAGGTCCACGATATGTCAACGACCGCTCTTGTCTAAACCTGATTGGGACGCCTCGTTCATTGCGAATCCGTCCCCAGCGCCGGGCCCACCGATGTCTAGTGAATACACAAACGGTACGGGATACTCACCAGTTTCTGCCGTCTCCTGTTTGATCCGATCCCACACATCCTGAAGAAGCCTCAGGCTCATCATCTCCAGCGTGGAACCTGAGGCCTGGCTGGCGAGCCATCTGGATCAACTTCCGCCGTCCCGTTGCCCGGGCCCCTGCCCTCCTCTCTCTACCGAGCTTGCCCGTCACCTGAGCGAGAGCTTTTCCCTTCCGAACCTGCTTTTGAGCTTTTTCTCTCTCCTCCTTCTTCCTTCCACTTTACCTACCTCCATCCCAATCTGTCCTTGTTTCCTATCTTCTCTTCCTCTTAGTCCATCACCGTCTATCCCACAATCTCCCCTCACATCAGTCACAATGGCCTCCACTCGTGTCCTCGCCTCCAGACTCGCCACTCAGATGGCCACCAAGGCCGCCCGCCCTGCGGTGCGCGTCTCTGCCATGCCCAAGCGCACCATCACTGGTAAGTCTTGAAAATTTAGTTCTCGAGAGAACGGAGACGAAGGGGGAAAACGGGGAAGGCATCGAACAAGAAAAAAAGAAGAAAAAGACCGACGCCGACATCGAAGCCAATGAGCAATCACATCAATTGGCCTCGCGGCACCGATCCGATATCAACGATGAGTTCGATATCGTCGCCTTCCCACCTCCCCGTCGAGAGAACAAGAAAGAAAAAAAATGAGAGAACCACGATTGTTCTGACATTCGATTTGCGAAATTTTCAGGCTTCTCCAGCCCCCTCCAGGCTGTCAAGCGCCAGCAGGCCACCACCATCAAGTCCTCCAAGGTCTTCACCCAGGTCCAGGCCAAGCGCGCTTACTCTTCTGAGATCGCCCAGGCCATGGTCGAGGTCTCCAAGAACTTGGGTATGGGTTCCGCCGCCATCGGTCTTACCGGTGCTGGTATCGGTATCGGTCTGGTCTTCGCCGCCCTCCTCAACGGTGTTGCCCGCAACCCTGCCCTCCGTGGCCAGCTCTTCTCCTACGCCATTCTTGGTTTCGCTTTCGTCGAGGCCATCGGTCTTTTCGATCTCATGGTTGCCCTCATGGCCAAGTTCGTACGTCATCACCAATCCATCCTTATCTCATCGAGACTCATCCAAACTAACAACCACGATAGACGTAAGCGATTTATTTCGCACTGGCGAGCTGGGGAGGAGGCAAGGACACAGCTTTCGGACGGAGCTGTGCTCTCTTGACCGCCATCTCCTCTTGGGACAGGTTCGCCTATGGTTACGCAATGGAGCATCATCCACTCCACACTGCGTGACGAGCTAGAGTTAATAGACGGGATAGACAGCATGGTGGGCATTTTAGACGATTAGAGGTCATAGACCGCACGGCTTTGCTGTGTTGTATAGATGGAAATTGGTCTGTGGCAGGGACGAGGTAACGCACTACTCTTACCAGCGAAAAAGTTTTGCATCTCCCCATCTTTTGCTTCAGCCAGCCTACCCCCGTGGCTCCTGGCCCTGATACAATTTTTTCTGTAAAAATACTACAACCCTCAAACTGATGATCACCGACTTTGATGACTTATGTGAGGCAATTGATGAAATTCTGAGCACTGGGCATGAGATCGTGAGATGAGGTCAAAATTATCCGTACTTTCCAGCCCGGCAACCAGCACAAATCTCACCGCCCCAGAGCGTTCGTTCAGGCACTTCATCTCCACTCTGGGGAAGGGACCAGTCCACGGAGTGCCAGAGCTTGAAGCTTCCCGAGATCTTTCGAGTTCGAATTGGCCAATGTGAGATGAGAATTGGGTGAGCTTCACTCGAGCTACCTAGGTAGACTTTTTTTTTTGCGGGTGTCCTCCCGTGCCTGGCGGCGGGAAGCCAGCATGCCATCCCCACGGGGTTCTTTCTCACACGAGCAATCACGCACCATGCCATGCCTATCCTGCCCTGCGCCTCTCCTCTCTCACTTATCAATCTGCTGGCTCGTTCACCACTAGGTTCGATTCAGTGACTTCACTTTCGGCAGTCTCTCCCACGAGTGCGGAGTGGATGCCCTCCTTGCCCATCTGGTTCTTGATCCTATAGCCGCTGCCGTAGAAGATGGTGATCATGATGCCACACAGGAAGACGAGGCACTCCCGCTGGGGGCACACCTTTTGATGTGCCAATTGAAAAGCGAGACCGGCCGCCGTCTCTTCTCGTGACTCCGCTTCTCACTCGAGCAGTCTGAACCATTAAACAAGACTACTGTTCCCGACGAACTGCCATTCACGCCGCCAGCAATAGTCTGGTCCCCCGAAAAAAAACTTTGACCCAAGGCCCGGAAGGAAAAAGCTCGGTTTCCGAGTGCTCCGCTCGACCTCGACGTATGTCCTTATCGTCGAAGCTTGGCTCCGAGTCGTGCGTCCGACAGCGCGCTGTATCCGCAGACTACCAAACTGTAGCAGACTGAGGAACACCGTCAAGGAGACACTCGCTCTCACACACCCCCTCGGCTTACTCAAACACACCTGTCCTTTCTGGACGACGAACGGCCGTTTGTGTTGGTAGTCTCTGAGTTGTTCCCCCCACTCCCACCCCTTCAAACCGCGACGAAAACTTTCGCCGTCGTAAGCTTGAGCGAGCTTGAGCTTTGAAAGAAAAGGTTCAGGAAAGCTAGAAAAGTCCAGATGAAATCAGATAACGCATGTGAAGGCCATCGACAACGGCGATGAAAATCTTGAACCTCGCAATTGACTTTTTTCTTTTGCCCGTATCCTCATGTGCTCCTCCTCCGGATCTCGATCATATCTCCTGGGTGGCAAGGCACCGAACCTGACCTCTCGGCTCCCGCAGACCATCGTCTCCCTCTCACTGGAGAGACGAGACAAGCGCGAATATCCGGACGCTGTAATTATCCATTTCCGTACTGATCACCGTTTCATCGCAGCAGTACAAAAAGGAAAGAAACCAAGTGTACTTAGTCTTTTGCTGCTCTTATCGCGGGTATCTCTTTCGTGCGCGTGTTCCCACCCCCCTTCCCATCCCCCTTCTTCCAGGACCACGATCATCTCCCCCCCCCCCCCCTCCGTTTTCTTCGCCCCCTTTCGGGGTCAGCTTTGCGGGTCCCAACGTAAAGGTCTCGACGGTCAGGCGGCGCGGCGGAACAGGATTGGGCTCGACGTTGCTAGAGGGGGCTCCACAGAACAGTAATGGCATCATGGATTTTTTTTCTCCATCCATGACCTTTCTCGCCACCGTTTTCCTTATCCACCGTATTTTGCGAGGTCAGCGGGTATCGTGGTCGCCTGGTCGGTATTTCGTTGAGTTTGCGTTAATTTTGGCTTGCACCACCCGACGTTGATTTTGAGATGGGATGTCGTTGGAGAGATTAAGTAATCCTTCCAACCCTTCTTTTGGTATCTTTTTTTCTATTTATGACGAACCCGGCTGTAGGGTACTGGCAGGTTTCCCCTCACGCGAACGTCGTTCGACTTTTTTGAGACCTGGGCTCATTTTTGGCTGTCTTCTCCAATTCGGAGAACCGAGGGACTGGCGAGTGCAACGGCGTCGCGAAGAGCCGAACTGCAGCAGGAACAAGCGAGGTGTGCAGGAAAAACAGGGCAAACACGGTACCTGATGACTTGACCCACTCTTTGCCTTTTATGGATGGAACGGGAATGGACGTGGGGGGGGGAGGGGCCGGCAACGACGTCTGTTCCTCGGCTTCTGAAAGTCTGGGAGGCGTTGATGGGATGTGGTTTGTTTCGACGACCTGACTGACTATTGGTATGTTAGGTATGAGAAGCAAACTGAAGTAGAAGGTCGTCTCCTAAGTGTCTAGTAAAATGTTGAAGATCTGGTATCACAGTATTGTGAGGGGTGTACACGGAACAGTCTTTGGCCGAACCTGGAGAGCTTCCTGGAGTATCCGCAACGCGTGGGAATTTATCAAAAAGTTACCCAGGACACGACTACTGCGTCATGAAGGCCAGTGGCTCAACGAACGAGCGGCGGCAACGACGTCATCTCATCACGTTGTTCCGTTGACCATCTCATTCCGTTGTCTATTTCCCATCACAAAACGGAAGACAACACCACGGTATCGAAGGCCCCCGCCCCCCATGGGGAAGCAGGTCCCGCAAGTTCACTCAGCTGATGTGGATGCCCCTGCTAAGGCATTTGGCTTATCGGTCATCGAGCCATGCGTATGAGCTGACTCGAGCTCGGGCTGTCAGTGGAGAGATTCGTCGGCTGTCATCTTCTTTGTGATATTCTCTTGTAGCTGGCGGACAGAGCAATCTCCATTGGTCTTGATTGTTGATCTACTTGCTCGAGCCTTGATGAAAGTGCGTCAAGTAGGGGCCGAATAAAGATTCGTGACGACCCCTGTGCTCTCGCTAGTGTTGCCAAGGTCTTGAGATACGACTGGACAATCGTCCAAACTCAATCTTGTCATCTCTCTCAAGGAAAATATGGCCATGGGCCATAAGGATGCGGAGGCAGACAGATTCGGTCGAGAGGCATAGCTGCTACCCATTACCACAGATGAGTTTGGTACGCTTTATGAAATCAGACTTTTCGCAGTTGATACTCCCAACGGGAAACATATACCGGGAACGACTCTGGGAATATGTCTCCGCCATCATTTTTGTCTACCGGAGAGCAAGTTTGATAAGCTGTAAGCTCTCTAAGATTATTCGGTGATATGCATTACATAGCACAGATTTAGAGTAGAGGCACGATCGCGCGACGTCCATAACACAAGCCTCGTCATGAGTTTAGCGACCTATGTAATAGACAACGCCGTGATAGGAACCTCCGTAGTAGGAGGGCCCGACTCTTACACCCAGGGGTTCCCGCCCAGCGCTTGGGCTGTGGTCATAATCAGTTCCAGCCCCCCGGAAGTACCTATCTATCCATCTCTATATATATGCGCCTGCTGGATGACAAAAAACCCCCTGTAACAAACTCTCAAAAGATGGTTCTGGAAGCAAAGCTGAATATGAGTTAACGAGACTGTGGCATAGAAGACGGGGGCTTTGGGTGGACTATTTCGTCTACCCATCGATTCTCTCCTCTTGCGACACGCTCGAGCGCTTTAATTGGAGATCTCAAAAGAAAAAATACCCCTAGTGCCCTCCAACCTTCATGCCGCGTTGTTATAAATGCCTTCTGAGAGATAGAGCTGGTATGGAAATGAGAAGAACCCAGACACAACACGTGAAGCTATGATTGGCGAGTATGTGAGCTGTCTGGTGACTAGAATAACGCATATCCCGTCGTGATGAGCCAATTCCAGCTCGCTCATCTAGATTCCAAACACTCACCAAGCTTCATCAGATACGATCTATCGCCCAATCCTCGTTGTTAATCTACAGGGACGTATACACTGCCGAATAAGACCAAAGGGCAGAGAGAGACGGTGAGTACGCTCTATTATCTTCAGTCACAGTTACAGGGCTCGAACTCACCCCGAGATCATCGTAAGATTCTTCAATGATGAGATGGAGACCTTGGCACACGCTAGACCAAAGACTCCAGAAGACTGTAACACGCTGGAGACTGACTTTGATATCGAGAGACGCTACGCCGACGGACGTGAGACGTGACTGTGAAGACAAAGACCAACCCCGACGAGAATAGACGCAGGGTACCACGGAGAAGCATCAGAACAAAGGGATCCTAAATCTCAACTTGAAGCGCAGGACTAGACTAGTCTCTGCTGCGACCTTGTGCTCTATGTCTATTCAAAGTCCATTCGATTGGGCCCCAAGCTTGAGGAGGGAAAAACTCGAGGGGGTTGAAAAGCCCATTACTTTGACCCCACTACAAGCTGATCTATCCATACCACGCGGCGGATTCGAGGCTATGATCAAACCGACACAAATCAACAACCAGAAGGTCACGCATACCTCTAGTACTTAGGATAGGTATATACTAGTCGCGCCATGAGAGCTGCCTCGCTCGTGCCACTGTGATCACCGAGCTTGTAGATACACCATGCCAGCCCCGAGTCCCAGCCTTTCAGGCATGCCGATCAGAGATGGATGGATATCACTAGCATTAGTTCAGCCAAGGATATAAATCTACACCCAAGAAGCTTTTTCAATGTTCCATGAGTAAGTAGGAACAATACGGGATGAGACAATTCTGTCTGAAGACACTCTAACCCCCGGCTGTGATTCTCACCTCAAACCCTCGTCGCCATCTCAAGCTTCCTCCGTTGTAGTCAAACAGCAGACCAACAAAGTGAATATCCGCCTGTAATCAGAGATTCCTCTATCTCTATACCTGATCATCGCCCCTCGGTTGCCCTGCTTGCTTCTACCCCTGAGCCCCGCCCCGTGAAACCATAGAACAAGCGCCTCCACCGAGTTCATGGCCTCAACTATCTTGAGGACAGATATCAAGATGATGGATTTCATCAAACTTTTGCTCAACACCAGCTTCGTCTGCAAGCACTCGACTACCTCCATCAGCCCAGCTCGTCCAAGATTTGGAGCTCATTGACGAGACCGATTCTGGAAGACCTAGACCCAGAACCTCTTCAAACGCCCCTGAAAAGGGGCAAACCTCTCACCTCCAAAATGGTAAGAAACATCATCATCACCACCTCTTAATCCCCACAAACCCAGCTAAACCAGAGAACACCCTCGCCATCCTCCTCAATACCCTTGTCTCCAACTCCTCTGCCTCTTAACCATGAACCCGCACCTCACCACCCCCCCCGAGCCTCAGCCAAAACAGCCATCAACGCCTCATATTAGCCCACGCCTGTTGAGGTCCCGCGGGTTTCGGGGCTGGGGACGGAGTGTCTCGGGTACGCGGGCGATGACAATGACGACAATGATTTGGGGTCGAGTTACACGTTTGCGTTTGGCAAGGATTCGTGCTTGACCTAGGTTAGACAGTCCGATATGGTTGAGGTAAAAAATGTAGCAAAGCGAGTCGATGGTACACACATCACAAGACAGCAACACCAACGCAATAAGACATCATTTTCTCAGAAAACCAAATGCAAGAATTTCATTATCTAGTGATGATACCTCGTCCTCCCCCCGCCCCCGATCCCCGTGGGATACCTTTTCCCATTCGTCACAAACGGCACGGGCTTCCTGCTGGGCTGCACCGTCGTGATGGCGTCCCACATCTGGCGGAAGCTCGCGCGGCGCGCGGGGAGCATGCTGTACTGCAGGCTGTATAGGTTCTTGCGGTTGAGCGGCGGGACGAACTTGCCCGTCACCAGACAGAGCACCACCGTGGGGGAGAGGTAGTGCTTGCGGATGCGGTTGCCCATCTGGAAGTACTGGTGGAACATGGCGCGGAAGGTGAGAGGGATGGACTGGTGGGCGTGTTAGAACCGAGTTCTCTATAAAAACATGGTAATGACAAGGGAGGAATGACATACCTTGAGGTAGATGACCGAGGTCGGTGGCTCGTTGGAAGTATTATTAAGTCTATAGTCAAGGGTATCTCGAAGTTCAAAACGGATGCCGCCTATCTCAGGTTAGTGAGGACCTAATGATTGATATGTAGTGATAATCACCTGGTAGTCGCCTCGGGTCTTTGACCCGCAACATCAGCGCAAAAAGGGGAAAGTGATTTAGACAAGAGAGAAGTGTATCAAAAACAGCCTTTAGCGAAATGATGACCATTCGCGCGACGGCGAAATTCAAGTAGAACACCACCACGGTCGGGAGGAGGAAGAAGAGCAGGGTGAAGAGGATGGTGCCCACGAGAAGCTGGTCGAGGTCGTAGTCGCACGAGTCGATACGGTTGCGCAGTACATTGTGCTTCTTGCCACGGAACAGGTGAAAGAGCGAGATGAGTATCGTGAGTTGCCAATGGTAGATCCGGGCAGATGCCAGATAAAAGGAGTAAATGTGAACGGTCAAGCTGGAGAGCAGGTCGGAGAACATGGCGATGGGCATGCTGGCTCCAGCGAAGCTAGAAAAGCCAATGAACCATATAATGTGAGGCAATAATGGCTGAAGCGTCGCGATGCAGTCTATTTGAGTCAGTAATCCTTCTTTGAAACTTTGAGCGCAGGCAAACTCACTTGACCAGTAGTCAATGACCCAGAGGAAAAGGTCTCCTAGGAAGAGAGCCAACTCGCTATTCAGCTTCAAACCCGCAGGCCATCCCATGAGCCACGATATACTTCGTTGAAGCGCCTCGACCGTGTACACCCTCAGAAGCTCGCTGATTGCGTTGGCGGCCCACTCGGCGTTGTCAATGATGTAGGAGCCCAACGCAATACCAATGATGACATCGTTGGCGACGAGCCATAGGCTGTTGTAAAACCGTATATAGTCAGGGTGACTGGTCGTGACGCTCTCCCAATCATTCTTGCGCTGTCGCAAAGTGGTGTACTGCATGGGCCAATAGCAAAACTGCTGCAGTCGAATCTCTACTTGTTGCGCCGTTGCCGATATGTCCTTCAAAGCTAGGTAGTCGTCTCTCAGTCGGAATTCCAAGATTTGAAGGAGCAACTCGGCGACCGCCCTGTGACCCATGAGCATGTACACAAAACCCCACTGAATCAGCGGAAGCAGGTAGAAGATCAAGAGGTCCCAGATGAAATTCCGCATCGATGTCGCATGCTCCACCACTCGCTCCGAGACGCTCAGAGATCGCTTGGGTCGGGTGCCGATTCGGGAGATGTTCTTCTGCAACAGCTGCTCAAGCTCCCATGACCAGTTGATTTGGTTCACAATTTTTGGTAGGGCTCTCTCTTTTGGCGACGGAGACCGCTTGATTATGGTGTGTTGTTTCAGCTTTTCCACCAATTTTCTCTTTTCCTCCTTCACCTTGAGCTCTTGCCGCTCTTCAGCCATGTGTTCTGTCGGCGGTAGGCCCGGGGCCTCCTTGTTCCCAAGCGCGAGCGAGATGGGGTTCAGCGAGATGTACTGCATTCTGCTGGGGCGCGGTCGGTCGTAGAGTATGATCTGGATGCTGAGGGCCTTTGCGCAAGCGATTCGGGGCGACTTTGCGCCGGCTGGCGTGGTCGCGATGAAGAGGGAGGGATCGAGTACGACGGCTTCGCTAGGGTTCGTCAGACCGAGGACGTGCATCGCATTGTGGCCGCATCGTTCGTAGATGCTATTGACGGGGTGTGGGGAGTTTCGAAAAAGGGTGCCGATCTTGAGGGCGAATTCGACATGGCCGGCCTATGGATTGGTCAATTGGTGAAAGAGCTGGCGGTCTAAGGGGGTTGCTGACATCGACATCGTCGAGAATGGCCACGACGAAGACATCCAGACTCGAGTTCCTCCATCCCACGACGACGCCAGGCAGGTCGGAGCGCTGGATGTCCGTCGGCCAGAATATCCTCATTAGACCGTCATTTTCTGGCATGTCAGTCGAGGGCAGCGCGGGAGACGGCGCTCAGAAGGAGCCTCTGCGTCGCAACTGTTCCCTGGCCGAGACGCCAGCTCCGGTGGATCGGGGGTGCTGTCGCAAGTCCGTCATTAGCCAGATGCTTCTTCCAGTTGCGCAACCAGACATGTCTCAGCGGGGGGATCGAAAGGATTTGTCGTACCAGGTCCGCCTCCTTGGTGGCCAATCGTTCCACGGGGATAAATATGACGAGGTAGACGAATGTCAAGAGCGCGAAACCTTTGGCGGCGCGTGTCTAGGTATGAATGTTAGGGTTGAGAACGAGGCAGCGCATAGATAGCTGGGCCCGAGGGAGGCCTCGATGGAGGATCATCATACAATAACTCCGTAGTCCCAGGCGAAAATAGCAAGCTCATAGAGACGCGTGACCAGATCCCATCGAGCAGTGATGTAGCCAGCTACGAAGATCCCAAGGCTGAGAACCGAGAGGGGGTGCATAGAATCGTTATTCCCTTGGACAGTGCATGCCGAGGCTTGTCGCCAAGGAGAAGTGCTGGTGCGCCGGGGCGGAAAGGACCTAGATTGAGCGTCGGGCTGCGGACTCGGCGGCGGTGACTGCGGGACAAGCGCGGGGGGGGGGGGAAGAGGGGGGTGGAAGCTTGGAAAGGATCGTGGGGTCGCAAGCTTGATTCGACGTGTCTTGGGGAGCCTTTGGAGGAGGACGAGGGCCGGGCGAGGACTGGCTTGGTGCGATGATTCGAATCTGTTGGTGTAGCACCGCAGTTGGTGTTGTGTTGCTTTGCGCAGAGATGTTCTGTAGGGGAGGAGGAGAAGAAGAGGAAGGGACGTGGATTCGTGGAGGGATGTGGGCGTGGATACTCTCGAGTCTCTGCAGTCTGGACGGCCGATGGAGTAAAGGTACCTACTCGACGCGGACCTTGTAAGGGCACAAGATGGGACTAGAAACTCAGTACATATGTAAGGTAGGTAGAGAGCCAGGGACAAGCTTCACGCGCGCGTGGAGGGATGCGGTAAATCTGGGAATTTGCCATGTACCTTATTATTGGAGGGACAGAACGGGGGGGTACGAAGAGGTTTGGCAGCTTCGGGGTTAGCTGAGGTGGAGGACGTCAGGACATCAGCTTCTCCCTCTAATTATCAGTAGGTACCTTAGGGAGTTACGGATAGTTCCTGCTGTTGGTTTCTCTGCAGTGTGCTGTCCACCTTAGCCTCTAGCCTACCTTACCTCAAGGTACATGCTGCGGTACAGGTTGCTCTGCCGCTAGCGAATTGTCTCGCTAGCGGGTCTCGCGTCCACTAAAGGAGACGGGAGATCTGGTTATTTTCCAGGTTTGGGTGAGGTGCTGCACTCTGCAGGAGTTCCCATTGCTGACCCGCGGGACGCACTCACGTAAGGTCCTCGGAGGGTCTGACGGGGATGTGGGCGGTCTGGAACCTGGAACGACCCCCCCACCCTGCTTGAGCTTGGCTTTTCAACAGCTGGGACTGGCCCACTTCCGGCCCATGCTTCCATTTTTTGCTTCCATTTTTTTTAGTAGTCAGATAGTATACCAAGTGACCTGGCGCGATCTGGTGAAAGTAAATCTACCAACATCACGTGGACTGATGCATCACATCAAGGTACCTACCTAAAACTAATACTTGGATAATTCTACTCACGTTTTGTGCATGCTCATCAGACTTCATATCTCGTATGGCTGCATTCGAATGGTATCATGAAGAGGCTTTCCGTGTCATCATGCACTTGGGGGCCTCCTTGGTCGTGCATCAAGCCGATGGAGACTTGGCGGTGATCTCAATATTGACACATGTCCAGCAATGAACCCACGTTACACCGTTTACCTTGCACAGCCATCCAGAATTCCTTTCTTTCCCTTTTCTGTACAGGTATTGACGGCGTTGCGGATACTTTTGGTACCCTACTACCTTACTACCTACTCTTTGAGGTACCTCAGGTATCACTTGTTGTCTGCATCCCAGGAGTTTCTCTCGGAGAGATTCAAGCTTACCTACCTTACCTTAAAGTCTAGACGTTAGTGTACTCATCCAAATCACCATAGGAATAGCTGGCGCGCGGACGCGTCATGGAAAAGCCACGGGAAAAAACGCATCATATTGGGAGATTTGCCGTCTCTAGACACTGCCACATTGTGCCTAACAAATGCAACCTTGAAAAACGCCAAAGAAAACTAGCTTGCGAGATATCTTGTCCGGAATTGAGATGCCTCCTGCACAAGTGGTCAGATTCTCCTCTCCAAAGACACATTGCAGCAACGGCGGTGCATGCTGATGCAGCACTCACATTTACGTCCCATGTATGTCGCATCATTGTCTTTTTGGTCTTCCCGCGCCTCATCCAGCAGCTTGTCTATGCCGCGTTCCTTGAGAGCGACCTACCCGCTAGTCAGTCATTGCGCTCTTCCTCGTCATTCACCCAAGCTTGGTTGTGAGTGCAGCCATCATCGTTGAGACGTAACCTACCGTCAAACACTTTTGGTAGTTCTTGAATAGATCGGCACACTCATTGTTGTCTGTGCCGGTGCCTCTGAGATACTCTTCATCCTGTCGTTAGATGTCTCCTTCGTCATCCATGTCATGTGCAGGGAGTCAACTTACTCTCACTGTACCATTTCAAGAAGCATGTATCGTAGCGCCTGTTTCAGCAGAGTTAGGAGCTCGTCCATTCATCTCTTCACAAATTCATTCACTTACTCCTTGACTTCATTGCATTCGGGGGCTAAAGAGGCAGACATGATGGATGCTTTTCTGTTGACGGAACTCACGGAGGACCGAGAGGTGAAGTTGCAGGTTGCGGCTAGAAATGGAGACAAAATCGTCACAGGGGCCTGAGTGCCTAAGGTCAGCGGCGTCATCCGCTGTAAGTTGAAGGCTCACCCAAGGCTCTTGTGCCATCCACCTCACACCCACCAGCTTCATTCTCTCTGCAAACAATTGCAACTTCTCAAACCACAATATCTGACCATCGATACCGGTTTATTGAAATTTGCTGTCAGCATCGAGCGAAACCGAATTCTTCATCCCAATACGAATACCTCTTCCATTCCTCGAAGTACCTTACACCCTGCGCCAAACATTGAGGTCGCTTATCCACACGCTTATCCACACGCTTATCGATTAGATAGCACCTCAAATCTTATCGGCCGGGGTCTTTCATGGTGGGCTCTTTTTTTTTGTTCAATCGTCAAACTTCGCAGCGAAACCGCGACAGCCTCCACCGAGAAACCATACCCGCTGCGCCGATACGATGGCGTCCCCCCAGGACTTCAAGTCTCTTCAGGACAAGGTCCAGGCTGCGCTCGTGGCCACCGTCAAGTCGGTCAACCGTGTCTCCGCCGAGGACCTCCCATTCCAGCGCGCCGTCAACCCCAGCGTTGGCGACGATCTCGACTCTAAAACCACACGGATTCTCGAGCTCTCGACCACACTTCTCAAGTCAGCTGCAGAGGTCTGTGGACTCAGTGCGCCCGATCTCGAAGATGCTGACGACGTTGATATGCGCTGGCGAAGCATCGTAGACGTTGTCGACTCAATCCTAGAGAAGGCCGACACATCTATTGACGAGTACACCGGAGCTTTGAAGAGGAAGGATGCGCCTGCTGCTGATGCTGTAAGTGCGCTCCGTAATCGACACAGAATATCATGTATATTGACGCTACGTAGGCCCCCCAAGCGAAGAAGCCCAAGACGGCTGGAGGCGTCGTCCGCAGTGCCAACATCACCAAGCCCCAACTCCACTTCGACCAGCCGGTCGACAATAACGCTCAATGGAAACCCCTCATTACCAAAAAGCCCCATGCTACGGTTCCTCTGAATAAGAGCCTGATCACTAGCGAGACAGAAGAGGGGTTTGTCCAGTACGACTACCAAACTTTCCTACCGTTGATATTTCCTAGAGTGCCCATCTCCGACAAGGCCGCATACAAAGCTGCAGCCAACTCGCGCAGGAGACTGGAGAAGTTGCTATTACTCAATGATACTGACAGGAAGACCAGGTACAAGCATCCATACGAAACCGAAATCCTCGAGGCGAAATACCCCAACCGCGTCTACGAACAAGCCGAGCCGATTCCATGGCAGCCCGTCGAAGGCACGGAAGCCATCTACGTCGATACATACGAAGGGGTCCTGAAGATGCTGAAGGACCTCAAGAAGGCTAAGGAAATTGCCGTCGACCTAGAACATCACGACTTCAGAACATACGTCGGACTCACCTCATTGATGCAGATAAGCACAAGAGAACAAGACTGGATTGTAGACACTCTGAAGCCATGGAGACAACAGCTTCAGGTACTCAACGAAGTCTTTGCCGACCCCAGCATAATCAAGGTTAGTACTGCTGAGCTCACTGACGCTTTCTCGACAAAACTAACAAATCTAGGTTTTCCACGGCCCATTTATGGACATGGTTTGGCTGCAGCGCGATCTTGGTCTGTATGTCAACGGTCTGTTCGATACTGGAAGTGCATGCGAAGCGCTACACTACCCTCAAAAGAGCTTGGCATTTCTTCTCAAGAAGTTTGTCAACTTTGACGCCGACAAGAAGTACCAACTTGCCGACTGGAGAGTGCGGTAAGTAAACCTCTGAAGCGACCTCTCTGAGATACTAACACTGGGTAGCCCCCTTTCTGATGAGATGCTGTACTATGCCCGTTCTGATACCCATTTCCTACTTTACATCTACGACAAGATGCGCAACGAGCTCGTGATGAAGTCGGATAGGGGCAACCCCAGCACCGACTACATCGAAATGACGCTCCAGAAGTCCAAAACTCTCTCATTGAGTCGGTATGGTGGTGAGACGTTTGACCCCAAGTCTGGTAAGGGAAGCAAGGGCTGGTACAACACTCTTCTGAAGCACCCTATGCCTTTTTCAGGCCAGCAATTTGCCGTTTATAGAGCCATCTGGGAATGGAGAGACGAGGTAGCACGGAAAGAGGACGAAAGTACAGCCTTTGTCATGCCCAATGGTATCGTCG